ACAGTTCGTGCCGGCATACATCTGGTGCCGTCACACAGTTCGTGCCGGCACATAGTCCATGCCCGCATATGTCCTGTTCTGGAAATCTTTTCAGTCACATCATTAGATGTCAAGAATGCGTCTTCTTGGCATTATACTCGTAGCATGAATCATCGGCAGCCTACTCGCATGCGAATGATGCCCTAGAATTTCTGTGAACATACTTCCTGCCCTGGTGTGTTCATCAATTTAGCTGCAAAGGTCAAGGTATAAACATATCCAAGATCAATAAACGTTGTGAAGTGTGAACCTGATCATGGAGGGTTCTCATAGTTTGCTCTCCCTACCTCCGGTTCAATACAGGGGTTCAAACATGAACCCCTGCATGAGTTGCAGGGCCAGGAACGCGGACCTGTCTCCACTTCCTCGGACCCCTGCCGTAGACTCTAGGTAGCAGTGGTACTTCTGCATGCTCACTCACATGGCCAAATTCTGACGACATGGTTGATTACAAAAGGTAGACATGCGCATCCAGAGATCTCCACACGGTAAATTGATGATATATAGTAGGTTCCTCCGCAAGATTCCCGGGAGCGGCTAGATGTCGCTCACAAGAGACTTGCTTGCGGCATGATTGACGCTTTTGGTGACATTATATTTGACCCTTGTGTTCAGGAAAAGTTTCGACAGGCCTTAGCTCACCAAAAATCAGTAACTGAGACGGACTCGACCAGAGAGGAGCACAACATGGCGCAAAATCCGCACATCGGAACTCAAGCACACCGGGGGTTCCAGATCGACAGACGATTTCAGCATCGGGAACGGACGCTAATCAATTGAGGGAGTCGAGCTTGCAAGTAAACTCGGCAATGGAGAAGAGTCTGGTTTCGCAGACGATTTCAGTCTCGAGAACAAGTCCTGCTCCAGAGGCGGGCATCTGTTCGGAGACGAATGTGTCACCGAAAGCGGGCGTAGCTCCATGAAAGAAGCACACTGGGGATCCTCGTCTGACGTCCGATTCCCGCATTATTTCAGAACAATTTATCGCTATTTCGGATGATAGTGATGGACCAAATGCAGACACAGAAGATAGCGCGAGGCAGGCAGATCTCTATGAGGGACTTGTTAGTGACAGGCCTACCGAGGGAAACGATGATATGAAGAGTAAAGAACACGACAAGGATATCACCCGCCCAGGAAATCCAGGTAATCAACACCACAGAGAAGTGGAGCGTAGCTCCCGCATCGATAGCGAGAGGTGTAACAAAGAGCCGAAAGTCAACCACAACTCTGTCTGTTTGGAAGACTTCAACTTACGTGCAGGAACTATACCTAGCCCACAAAGTCATAGCCAGACTGACGGAATGCTGCATGGTGCCTCGCAGCCCACTCTAGGTATCACTTATCGTAACGTATCGAATCCGGGCACCATTTGTGAGCGGAGACTTGGGCGAATCAGAACAAGGGAGCTGTAGACACTGCGCTACTGGAGGACAGCAAGCTGATATTCTTGAGAATACTGGCTCATCAAGCCAACAAGCATCTCGGATAACCATTTCGCAGTTCGAACATGACCACATGCCGCCAAAGCAGCTCGAAAACGAGGATTTGGCGACACTTGCAGCTCAAGCTCGAGCTGTCATGTTCACAGCGTCAGAGGTGTCTGGTAGTTATCGACCGTCGCCTTTTTCCCGAGAGCAAGGTATTGCTCATGCGAGTGGACAGAGTGCCAGACCACAACTTAGAAATTCTGTCGAGCTCGAACCCGAGGTCATTCAAAGGACATATGGTACGGAGTCGAATTCGTAAGTACCTCTACCTGCAGACGTGGGACGCTGTCTACAGCAGCGGGGGAGTGATGGCTATCGTAAAATATCTATGTAGGTCTTCTGCGGCCGAAATCGGGCTAGTTCTGTGGGCGTCAAAATGACGGATTAACCGCTTGGAACCAATCGGATTTCCGTTTGTAGAGCATGCGAAGAGAACGATTTGGATGAAGTATTCGTTTTAAGTTCTAGGAATAATGGAGGGAAACAGGAGCCAGTGTGAATTTTGGTAATGTGAGTAAGCGATAAGATAACCCAGCGATACTAATGTAACGCCAACTCTTGACGCTGTTGGCATGTAACGAAGCTCATAAAACGGAGGACAGAGCGTCTGTGTGGCCCTAAAATATCAATGACCTGTTATCAGTGCCCGAGGTGGTTTCAAGTGAGATAGAGTGGAGATGATAGATCAGCATTATAAAGATGAGCCTGCTATTGTAATATCATCCCTTCCTACTAAGGTATCGACATTATCCGTTTCTTCAACACATATAAGCACATCGGTTTCTTCTTCTCCTTCTTACATAGCTCTTCTTTTTCGGTTTGTGTTCTTCAATCAACTTTGGGTGCAATTCCTTCTCCGTGACCCACCAATCCTCCCATTTTGGGCGACCATCCCAGTGCAATCGATACTCCGCCTTACCATTTCGGATTCGAGTCCGTAAGACCTCGACGCCATCCTTGAAACCTCTATAGCTCTCTTCAAAATCCTGGACGAGTTCTTCATCCAGTATGTTCTCCCTCGGCTCCCAGCCATAACTTCCATCTAGCCATTTTAAATAGAACAAATCTTTGCCCCATCTCCCGAGTAGACAATCAACAGAATACGTTTGTTCTTGGAGAGGGTCTTGCTGACAGTGCACTACTGCACCACGGTGGCTCAGATCCTTGGTCACGACCCCCTTTGCATCGCTGTCTGGTGCCGTCAAAGAGTCCAGGTCGAAAGTAGCGCTGGGCTCCCCTTCTGAAACTAGTAGAGGATCAATGGGTACCATTATCCCAGTCATTCGTGATGGGGACTGCTCAGTCGACAGAGTCTCTTTCATGTGACCTAGATTGGAGGCAGAGCTAAGAACGAGGCCTGCTACCTGATTCTCATTGTCTGTGCAATAGGGAGAACTGCCCAACAAGGTTGGGAAAGCGTACATTTCTTGGGTCTCAGATTGGGCATATTCCAGCAATGGACTATTAGATAAAGAATCAGGGGGATCCGTTGGCGAACGGCTGTCTTGAGTTTGCGCATAGTCTGAGTCATATAGGTGCCTAGAATCGAGAAGTTTGGTGTCAGGCACAAATGGTATCACCTTGAGCCCCACGGACTGCTCGATGCCGACTCGCTTCGACTTTCGTGGTCGCTCTGGTGGGCGTTCATCCTCGTTCGAACAAGTCTTACGCTTTCCGATCACTGCTGTCTTTTCGAAAATACTGTGGATATCACCTTGATGATACCAAAAGTCTTTCTCGAATTGGACTTCCACCGGACACTTTGGATGAGGGCAGGAAATCGTCTGTCCTTGCTGTTGAACGAGATATGTTGCAAGACACCGAGAAATATGGCGCTTCCAGGCATCCTGGTCGGACCATTGACGCATTCTCTCTTCCACGGGAAGATCTGTTCTTCCCAGATGAACAGGACAGTAACCAGCACATGCGACCGCGTGACGGTGAGTGACTGGATTACATCGAACTGGGAATGATACTTTCTCAACATGGTCTTTGCAGTGAGCCACCCAAGAAGCTTCGCCCTTGAGCCAAGTGCTGCATAGAAAGCAAAATCTAGCGAATCCCACTTCCTCAACGTAGGCTTTCTCCTGGCATCGATAGATATGCCGCCATCTGTCTTTTTTAGGTACCCTGATTGATGTCAGTGAGCAGTGATCGTGGCCTCATGATGAGTAGCTTTCTTACTTCAACATATTTTTGCGGCAGGTTGCAACAGGGCAGCAGCCCTGTACAGGGCGGAGCTCTTTCTGATAGGCCACAGGATGATGATTTGATCTGAGTGAAACGAGGTCTCGAAGGGCGTTGATCCATTCAGGACTTCGAGGCCAGGCTTTCATTTGCAGACTGTATGCGAGACGTACACGTTCTTCTGGAAGCACGTGACTGATGCGGTTGAAGTGATTCTGGCGCCAATCGCATTGCTCATGATCGTCTTGGCCGATATCATACAAGACCTTTTGTGTCGTCTGGAATTCTTTCAGCTTCTTGTTCTCGAACAGCAGCCTTTCTCTGTAGGCGACCTTGCGTTGTAGTTCGAGCTGTTGTTGGTCCTCCAGTGACGTTGACGTCTCGAGCTCCAAGTTGATTTCGTTGATCTTGTTGGTCAGGGAAATATATTCCAGGCTTTTCTGTAATTCTTTCGTTTCCTTTGCGGGAAGCGAAAAATGAAGGCCGGGGTTTCTTCCTGCTGATGCTGATCTAAAGTCCTCCGCTAAATCGGCCCGAAGTTGCATGCCAAGGTAGCTTCCTGCGCCATCCACCGTAGAAACACTGCCGAGGTATTTGTTGACAAGTACGTTGGTGTTATTCTGTGACGCAAACCGTAGCACTTGGCCCAGTGAATAACCGTTATCTAGGAAGTAGTGAGTTATTTAAGTAGCGCCAAAACGATGAGACTTGCATACCGTTCACTTTGATGAGAGCCTCCCGGCGTACGGCATGCAACCCTAGCTGCGCAGTAAAACCTGCACGGTTTCCCCAGTCTGAGAACTGAGAGACCCATGATTGGGGATTCTTTGGCTTTGTTTTGGGTCCCGAGGAGGACCATTCCGGGAACACTGGTTTTTCTCGTACATCGGCAGCCCATGGAAGGATGCGAAAGTTACCGTTCTTTGGTGGTTCAAGCGACAGGACTTGTTCGATCGTGTCCAGGTCGGCGAATGCGTGTGATGCAATCAGATTGGCCAACCAATGTAACATGGGCTGTGCGAAAAGAGGTGGTGGGAGACCGTCCGGTCCCGTCATGTGCTCTGCGAATGGATGCTCAGGCCCAGAATCATTTTAGTGGTGTCCGTAATCATCAGTACCAAAGGAACTCACTGGTTGACATTTATCGCTTTGCAGATCTCCCTGGTAAATTTTAGACGAAACTCTGGACATCCATCTTTCCATGACAAGATGCATTGCATATCCTGTAGCAAGTCAGAATCAATCGCCTTTAGTTATTAAAGTGACGTACTTGGTATGTTGCCTGACATATCTCCTGACATCGCGCGGAGGTAAAGCAGTGTGTATTCAGTAAGTTTGCGTTGTCGACTCGGCTTCCTTCATGCACATAGTCGTGAAAGTCATTGGTCCAGAGTCGATTTTGCATGTGGACATAGTTCTCGATGGTGATGAAAGCTTTTTTTCTCTGACCTCTCTTCCCGGTAAGGAGGCCGATCTTATTCGCGAGCTCGCCTTCGATGTACTGGAATATATCAGCAAGGGAAGTTGTTCACAAGATGTTTACACAAACACGTACCGGAGCCATGGACCTCTCAACGTCGAAAGTTATATACGTATGGTTTGCACGTTCCCACGCATTGCAAAATCTTCGCATTGCACTGCGAATACTACCGGCTGTGGGCATCTGTTTACCATTTTCTTGGGGAAGCCGTCCTCTTTTAGATCTCCCAAGGAACTCTGCAAAATGTTTCAAGGTCTGCATGTCCTGTGGTGTCGACCCTGGGAACTTTCTCTCATACCTGGACCAAGTTAATGGTGATCAGCCAACATTTGGACTTTACTCACGCTTCCCACAATCTAAGCTCGCGGTCATATCTTTCTTTGCTTCGTTCCGCGAGGTTTCTTCTCACTGGGTGCGGATCAAGTTGGGAACGGTCGTGGGAAAGGCCATTCAGTATTGCCCTCTCCACAAGCTCATCGGGGTTTTGGGCTTTTCGCCCACGCCGCTTATCATTAGACATCGAAGAGGTTTTAAAAACGAGAGAAGAGTGATTTGAAGTCAATCAAGTTATATGGTAGGGAAGAGGTCTGAGTTGGGGAAGATTGGAGATTGCGATGGGCCATGACACCCTCTTATAGAGAACGCTGGGAGAGACTGGGCAGACAACTCGGGCAGTACAGCTGTCTTGTTGCTTTCGGGCTGGTTTCACTTCGCGTACACAGTCAGAATTGGATGGTGACGATTCCGAGCACCCCAGGTCTACGCGGGAAGGGAACCCTGGTGGCTCAGGCGGCCCGCCTGAGCTGGGGGTGAGCAACTCCTGAGCCAAACCTGAGGGGAGCCTGAGCTACCCTCCATAAAGCGGCGATGCCTGGTCGTCGATATTCCGTTTTCAAAACATTTTTAGCTTTATATTTAAGGAATCACTACTCTATAAACTAAATTCCAATATCTGGTGCTTGCGGTTAGGTACTCTTCTCGCTCCGCCTGAGCAGTAAATATCCATCCAAGGCAACAGCTACTTCTATGTCATCTTCCTTAGCCTTCTCATGATCGGGTCCTACTATTGCATCAAACCCTTCCTTTAATGGATTCGTCACACTCAAATGCACATATTTTACTCCAGAACTCAAAGCATCGGTCCCCATTTCCTCGTTTAGGTCTTCCATCACAGGCTGCACCCACTGCCATGCCGTACCAGACGTCGTGGTCGGCATGGTATGCACTGGTACAAGAGGGGCTTTCGGATCGTTGCCATCGTTAATGATTTGTATACGCATTTTGCCGTCTTGTGCCGAGACAGGGTCTGAGCCACGAGATCCAATAATGACTGGACCTGAACGGAACCAAACGCCGAGATTTTGAAGATCTCGCTCCACGTCGTCGCGGTTTAGCTGGACTTGAACTGCAGGGAGTATCCCTGATCGTACGTGGATTGGGAGGAAGGAGTCCAGGAGTACAGTGACGAGAGAAGATTGCAAGGCCTTGGCTTTCCGCTTCCGATAATCATCTGCCACTTTGGTAATGTCTAAGGGCTCGGAAGTACCTGAAGACAGCACGGGCGGATAGCTGGGAGACACGGTGAGAGGAGGTGCATTATTTGAGTGTCTGACGTTTGGCAAGGATACATCATCGATGGCAAAGTCGGTGACAATATCCCAAGCTTCTTCAGCTTCCAGAGCTGTCAAGTAGCCTATCAAACCATCTTGGTGACCGAACATGTCGCCTAGTTTGACACCAAACTCGTATCGACTGAGTTCCTCATCTCCAGTCTCAGGCAGGCCGACCCTGGAAATGTTGTCACTCTCATCCTCAGCATAATCAGCATAGGCCTGACTCTGCATAGGTGGAGTTGCAAGCTCAATTCCCAATGAAAGATGTGCGAGAGCAACAGGGCGGCCAACAAGAGCCGAAGGGAACTGGGCAAATTGCTGGGCTGGCGGTGCTTGAATGTGATCCTGGGCAGCAACTATAGTCTTCCAAAGGCCAATGATGAAAGGTGCATGTGACATTGATGCAATCAGGTCATCCAGCGTCATGGGCTGCTTGGACCCCTTTTGTGCCGACATGTAGACTTTGTCCAGCCGAGCTTTGAGCCGAATGTCATGTTCATTGCGCATCAGATGTGGAAGGATGTCAGAAGAGATGTCACTCCCAATGAGGGAATGCCAATGGACCGATTCGTTGGGCCCGGAGGGAAGCACGACCTCTCCCTTGAAAGCCCTGTCCTTGTCATAGACCTGTATAGACTGATTGTGAAAGTTTATAAGCAGCCACGCAAAAACCCCAGTTTCGCCTTCAGCTCCATCACAGAGGAATTCAGCATGCATACGAGCATCTTGATTGATCCGCGGACCAAGTTGAAACCATTCACAATCGTCTAGTTTATTCTCGGTCGCGAATGCTGTATTTGGTGAAGCGTCATTGTCTGGTTCACAGAGCATCGAAGACCCAATGTGAGGATATAAAGTTACTTTTGGTTCTTCTGGTCGCGGATCCTGGGCACTTATGACCTGTCCGAAACGGTCAACGATCTTAAACTGAGTTAGTCGTGCTTGGCCATGGGTGACCGGCTGGAAGAATCTACGATTGTCATCAACAGCATCAGTGCTGGTCAAAGTCTCATACGACAAACCCTCATGGTAGGTTCCGTATGGAGTAACATCAAGGCCCCCAGATGACAGGTCCGTTGGGTCCCCGTAAAAGATGTCAAGATATTCTCCCTCAGCAAAGATCTCTTCTCCCGGGGAAGACGCCCCCTCCCTCATGGGGATAGTATGAGCTCCTTGGCAAAGAGTGAGAAGGTGATCGGTGAACCCGTCAAGTCGACCAAAGAGCAGATTCTGATCCTCGAGGAATTTTTCTGCAAAGGCCTTCACTGGATCCACCTCGTCAGATGTGAGAGGGACCGTACGGTGCATCATATCGAGGAGCCCTAGCATAAGCTTCTGGCCGTTTGGCTGCAGAATAGTACGTCCAGAGAATGTGCGAGAGCCCAGTGTCAGGTCTGACAGCTTCTGTTCAATGTCAAGCCCATACTGGACCGAGCCGTTATCGGCGTGCCTCAGTTGCCACATTCTACTGGGGATGTTGACGTACTCCACCTCCCAGTCAACAAACAGCGGTAGCCATGGCTGACCGTCCCAGCGACGCTCTTTCCAAGAAGGGTTCTCAATCAGTGCACTATCGCCTTGTGTCTCTGCTACTATCTCCTTGGTGAAGGCCAGCATGGTATTGATCATACATTGACGAAGCTCGATTGGGAGTTTGCGGAGTCCACTATGGTTGTTGATGTGCTCCCAGAGATCGGGGATACGAGCCTGGGTAGTCGGGGCCCCTTGTTTTAGAAACGGTGTAGCCTCTGTCCACCTCTTGAAGGCTTCAGCGTTTGCATTCAGCCATGAGTTGAAAGACTCAGTCTCAATCACGGTTGGGTCAGAATCCCATTTATCTGGCCACCCGCTACCCATGTTTCTCAGCACAAACGCTGGATCTGTATGGGAGTAGAACTTGCTGGTCTCCTCCTTCTCAAACGGTCCATATGGCAACGACCTGTCCATGACCGACAGTACTTGCATCTCTGCTGACCGTATCAGGAGAGTGATGCTTCGCATCTCCTCCAACAGCCGTTTAGCCCTTATAGTGCACCGAGACCTGCGCTGCACGAAAAGAGGATCTTGGCTACCGATTAGATTTCGATGTTTCCACCATTCGCAAAAGACCAGATGTCTCATGTGTCTTTTCCGACGATAAAGAGTATCCAGATAGTCTTGTATCCGGTTTAGCTCGCGTAGCACCCCCTTCTGCTGTGTACTTGGCATGCTTGGCTGCTGGACTCGTGAAAAAGAGTCACTACCCAGCGAAGCACCTTGGGCTTCCTTCTTCTTGATCCGCCAGCAATATCCGCCATGCGTACCTTTGAAGTTGGTGACAGCTGTTGATGCACGGTTAAGTTGCGAGTTCGATTGCTGCAGAGAGGCATCGCTCTTCATGCTCTCGAAAGCTTCGGCCATGGTCGCGTCTTCAGGCGTCGATCCTTTGAGCAAGGCAACGCATGCATCCATCACGTCGTTTCCGACGGCCAGTGGCTGCGTGTCTGCAAATAGTTTAGCCTTTTCTTCTGCTTTGACCTTTCTGGGTGCAGCATCCCTCTGATAATGAACAGAATAAAGCGATCCCCAGCATACCGAGACCGGCGTCGGTGGTTTGCTTGGGCTGTCAGAAGCAAGTTCGAGGGCGTCTTTGGCGAAGAAACCGTAGACAGAATAGTTGATCTTTGCGCTCTCAATTGAGCCAGGTTCGCCACCTTGCTTTGTCAGGTCATCGTGAAAGCTAAAGACAGCTGAGTTATGAGGAATGAAGTCTGCGAACAGCGGGTTGCCTGATCCAAACACAGTGAGGGGACTGCGATAGTATTTACTGACATGTCTCGCGCGGAATTAACTCACGACTTCCTCACCGAAGGTCTGGCACTTCGCTTTTTACTCCGTAGAACGCAGATCAAGATAATTACGGAGCACAGAGTACCTAGCTAGTAATAACCGAAAGGGAGCCTAAGTCTTACCACTCTCACATTCTATCACCCATGCAGTCTTTTCTCAATCAGATATAGGAAGAAATAAGACAATAGACTTAGTAGATACAGAAATCTTAACCTTTCGGTCATTTCAGTGCTGTATGCATACTTCATCATTGTTGGGTCCGATGTAATCCTGCACTCCTTTGAGTAGCGTGAACGTCCTGCGCTCACATACCACTGCCATTTCACATGACCAGCTTACGACCGTAAGCATCACTCTTGATGTCACGACGGGCAACGCCGGCAGCCTGCATGAGCTTTCTAGTAAACTCGACGCGCTCACCACCCCGCATAATCGTAGGGCGTCGCTGCCATCCAATCTCCGTCGGCATGCGCTCGTTTCCTGCAGAAGAACATCTTGTCAGCTTTGTCATACCAAGAAGGTAAAGAAACGTACTCAGCCAGTACTCAATAAACTTCTTCTCCACCGTGCCGGTGGTGCCATCAGCCATGATCTCAAAGAAGGACGCCATCTCGCCCCAGCTGAAGCCATCAGCTAGCTTAGACAACGAGTGCTCAGGGTTTGTCTTCTTGGAGGTCGCTAAGCGGCCCATTCTCGCCTTGGCGACTTGTTCGACTGTCAACAGGTCGTCGGGAAAGTAGATAAGGGACTCCGCCCAGACGGTCTCGTTGAATGGGTTCGGATCAGCAAAGAATGCGTCGGAACGACTGCGAAGGTCAGTACTTGTCAGGATAGTAGAATGGCTTGATCTACCTGAGAGAAATGTCATGCTCGAGGATGTTGTGTCGTCCAAGATCAGCCAGATCGAAGGTGTGGGTATTGGGATACTTGGGGCTGGTCTTGATAGCTTGAGTGAAGAGGATAACAGCATCCAAGTTCTCAATGTTATAGCCGGTGAGCATACCGTCTTTAAGAATGTCGAGTGTGATATTCTTGCCGTCGCGAGGGATATACCCATGGTTGGCCAAAGTGTTGAGACCGGGGCAGGGGCCACGAGCTTCGTCAAACAGTTAGTACAACACACAGATGCTAGTGATACTCTCCATTGTGGGGGCTTACAGGCGTCTGGAGTTGGAGCAATCCACTCCTGGGGAACAAACTCGCGGATTGATAGAAACTGGGGATGGGCAAGCGTCTGCACCACCGCGCTGGCGATGACGATCAAGGCAGAGAACTTCATAATGATTGAAAAGAAAGTGCTAGGCACGAAGAGAATGGGACTGATGCTGAGCCTGTTGATGCTGAGCCTGTTGATGCTGAAGCTTTGCCGCACTGAAGCAGAGTACCATGCCGTGTCTTATATACTCGTCGCTTCACACTTCTTTGCATTTAGGACTCTCGTCTTTGCCCAACATCTTCGTTTCATCTACACAAGATTACAGCTTCAGCTCCTACACAAAGAAGAACAGAGGCAGAAACGCAAACCGCAAACCAGCGTCAGTGCCGAGATCCTCGGCTCGGCCAGTCTCACGATTGGTAATTCTCCGATTATCATTGATTACTTGAGATGCGACTGGCTGGCCCAGGTCTGAACACTATTCGCGAATGTTTCCAGATAAAGTAAAGATGCGGTTATGCTTATACCTTCTGTTTCGTCTACATTGAAACGCCACTTAGTCCTGAAACTTTTACTAAAGCCCAAACGCCAAGGAAAAGAAGCAAATCTCCCTCATGGGAAACGACCGAGTCTAAGGGCCATTTCTGAAAATTGGAAATCTGGCTATGTTATTAATTGAACAAGACTATCACGAATACGCATATAAATTAATCTACCTCTGGGAAGAGCACCAGTCTCGAAGCTTGCCAGCTGGAATCGAACTGTTGGTAATTGCATCTAGGCCGAATTGAGAGGTTCAGCTCTGTATTGTGGCCTAAACTCAGCCACGTTGCTTCCTTAATAAGTAAGTGCAAGCTGAACTTGAACGAATTGCTCCTAGCGCTGCCTTCCAGAAGTGGCCACGTATAAGGGCTGCGGGGTTTGCAGAGATAACTCAGAGTAATTTAATCCTAAGGGTAATACTCTTAGAGTGTTAAATAAACATAATTCATAGAATCTTTATTTTATATCTTGTAATTGCTTTCCTAATCAACAAACCCTGGTATGTTAAAGTAGTATAGCAAAAGCCCTGACAACAGCTAAAAAGATCAAACAGCCAACAACTATGTCTACTGTACTTTCAGCCAGCGGCGACAGTGCCGCCACTACCTCTTATAATAAAACTCAAACCCAGGGTAGCATGACTATAAAACCCGCATCTGCCACTGATCTATCAGCTTGGATGTATTTGCCCGTATATGGCAGCATCCCAGGCAAGTCCCTGGACGAGATCACGGTCGATTTCACGGCGCAATCTGCAAATATCAAGACGGTGGCGGTGTACGATGGCAGCGAAAAGGTAGTAGAGGAGAAAGAACTTGGAAAGAGTGAAGCTTTTAGTGTTTATGTGTCATCTAGGGAGATCAGTTCCACGGTGGATGGAGTTACGGTCTCGATTGAGGTGGAGTTTGAGACGGTTGAGGCGTGGCTGACTCTTAGTTCTGTCTCTGTCGCGTTTTGAATTATTTATCAAGGCTGATCATCTTGATGACTCAAGCACTTCCAGCATAACTGTATGGCTGATTTGATGTGTTCCGTTCCTGGGTAACAAGGTCAAACTTGGTGAATGTAATTTGTACATATCTGGAATTTGACCAAAGCTGGGCGATTTTGCTCGCCATCCAATAGTGAGCAAACTTCGTAGGCCCTGGGTGTTTTCCTAAGGTGATCGGGTACAATATGGATTAAGCAACTCTGTTTCCCTTCAGGCAATCTGTTTTATAATAAGTGGCCTGCTCGCCTTATTAACAACAGCCTTGTCTCTTTATATCCGATTTAGATTTTTTTTTCTGCGCTATGGCATTCCCATTGTCGGCTACTCCTTACACACTTGTTCTTTATATGATGAAGATCTTTTAGTGCATATTCTTATGACTGTCAATTTTCTTCCCTTGGCTCATCTCACCTCTCTTAGTCTACACTCTTGACAGCTGTGAGTATGATACGGCTCTCGGAACAATTGTGTATCTTGAAACTTAACTCTAGTCTGTCTGAAATATGACATGCAGGGGTTACGTCAAAAATGACGACGCAGTAAGGATAATTGCTCTAGTTCTAGCTAGCAGTGTATAGTCATGCCGGGGTGTGTTATTGCCGAGAAGCCAAGATTACCTCTGTTTACGTGTAAATGAGGCTGTGTGACGAATTACAATGCTTGAGAAAGTGTCACTACGTAGGGTAGAGAAATGGCATATGAAATGATGCCTCTTCAGCGCATATTGCGGGGCAAAACCCAATTCTGTAGCGTGTCATTGGCTTACTCGCTTCTTTCTTAGCGAGTGCGATAGTGGGCTGTGCCGTTAACCGCTTCTCGATACGGACGCCAATGTCAATGACGTCAAGACCCTGATCATCGATATCCAGCACCTAATCTCAGATCCCGTTATTTCCACGAGCTGTCTTTCATTCAATCTTAATAACCCATTGTTCAAGCTGATTTTGTTATAGACAATGCATCAATCTAACGAACCAGATACACCCTTGGCATCACCACCAGAAACACCATCACCACCGGATATACCACCATTTTCTCCAAGATCAATGGCTGACGTTGGCACCGATTCCGGAAACCTCTTCCGTCTCAAAGACGTGCTCACTTATTTCGCCGCTGTCAAGGGGGACCTATCAAACGTCACTGCCCCTCCCTTCATCCTCGCTCCCAGATCAGCCATTGAGATTCCAGCTGCTTGGGCGTGTCATCATGACCTCTTTCTTCAACCTGCAGATGAACCTGATGCTGGAGTGAGGGCTCTTTTACTGGCAAAGAACTACATCTGCAGTCTTAAGCAGCTCGTCAATGCGGATTCCCCGGATGCCGCCAAGAAGCCATTAAACCCGTTCCTTGGTGAATTATTCCTCGGCTCATTTTCCGACAAGTCTGGTTCAAAGTCCGAACTGGTTATTGAGCAAGTATCGCATCACCCACCTGTTACGGCATGCTCGGTATATAACAAAGAGCGTGGTATGTCATCGATTGGCTTTGCGGGTCAGGAAACATCCTTCAGCCTGGTCAATGGCGTCACTGTGCGTCCAACAGGTTGTGCAATTATCCAAGATCATAAGCATAATGAGCAAAGTCTCATGACGATGCCAACAATATTGGTCAAAGGCGTGACCACCGGGAATCCATATCCAGAGATGGAGGGTCCAGCCTACATCGCCAGTTCGAGCGGTTACTTGACGAAAATCGGATTTCACGGTAAAGGAAGACTCGGGTACGGTCAGAAGAATCAGGTCGTCGCTGAAGTGTTTGCTCCAAATGACAAGGACCATCCGTTATATCGCATCACGGGACAATGGACTGGCGAGATCAAGGTTGAGGACTCAGCTAAGACAACTCTCGAAGAATTTCACGTCGACAAGATCCCGATCTCACCTCTCAAGGTCGCGCCCGTAGAAGAGCAAACACCTTGGGAGTCACGTCGAGCTTGGTTCAAAGTTACTCAAGCTATCAAGCAACATAACATCGAAAAGGTGTATGCCCACAAGAGCACGTTGGAAGAGTCGCAAAGAAGACGACGCGTTGAAGAGGAGAGAACCGGCAAGCAATGGAATCGTTTGTTCTTCACTCAAATCCCCAAAGGTGACGAGACGCTTGAGTCCTTGGTTTCAAAGGTTCCAGAGAAATTAAGTATACTCGACTTCACAAAGACGGGGGGTGCTTGGAGATTTATTGGGGCCGATAGAGCGGAGGAGGTGAAACAGCATTTGAGCCGCGACAGTTTACCATAGCGTTGTTATAAGCATAAGCATAAAGCATTAATAATAGATTATATTGCATTGATACATCTACTGCCAAGTCTAGCTGATGAAAAGCCCGGAACTGCATCTAATTATCCATTCCGTCCAACATGTCACATTAGATTTTGTCAACGTGCTCTCCAGTCTCATGCTGAGCAGCAAGCTTCTCGTCAATAGCCTCAGCCCTACGAACGAGATCAGCCTGAAGGTTTGCAGTATACTCGCTCTTGTCGACGAAGGGAATGAACCAAGGAGCGTTGGTGAAGAGATAGTTCATCTCCTCCAGAGGAAGCTGCTTGGTCTCAGGGACGAAAGCCCAAACGCAGAGGGCGTTTGTGAAGTTGCAAATGACAAAGACAAGATAGTATTTCCAGCCAACGGCTCCCATGGCAATACCGGTGACTTGGCCGATCATGGTGTTGAAGGCGAATGAGGTCATGGTAGCAAGAGAAACACCCTTGGCTCGGGTACGGGTATCGAAGATCTCGGCAGGGATGATCCAGGAGAGAGGTCCGCAAGTGGCTGAGAAAGAGAAGTTGTATGCCCAGGTAACGATGATGAATCCCCAGCCTTGAGCAGCACTACCAGAACCGGGAGGATAGACAACGAGCATAATGGTGGCGATGATAAAGGTGAGCATGTTAAACAAGTTACCCCAGATAAGAGTCCATCGGCGACCGAATCGATCAATAAAGGCAATGCAAAGAGCTTGGGCGATCAGGGCAATGATCGAGTTGATAGCCTGATACTTGAGTGCATCGCCAGGCCCAATTCCAGCTTGTCCATAGATAGTAACAGAGTAGTACTGAATGGCAGACACACCCGTCATCTGAATCGACGCCTGAAGGCCACAAGCGATCAAAAGACGACGGAAGCAAGAAATATCCCTGAAAAGCTCGAGGTATGACTTGGCACCGTTGGCATGCTCGTCGGCAATGCTTTCCTGAATCTGCTCGATCTCCGCACGCACCCAGGGATCGTCCTCGTTGCCGTTGGAGTGGAGGCGGGCAAGGGTCTTGAGCGCGTCGTCCTGCTTACCCTGGTCCATAAGCCAGCGAGGAGACTCGGGGAAGACAAAGATGAGAGCACCAAGGATAACGGCGGGGATGATCTGGATGCCGAGGGGGATTCGCCACTGTCGGTTGTCGCTGAAGTTTGTGAATGTGCCCCAGCCGGTCCACGAAGCGATGAGAGCTCCAATTCCCAACATGAATTGCTGAAGAGCTGTAACCCGGCCTCGGATGGAAGGGTGTGCGATCTCAGCCTGGTATAGAGGAATGATCATGGTCAAGAAACCGACGCCAAGACCAGCGAGGAAGCGACCGGCCATGAGGTACGAGATCTTGGGGGCTCCAGTCTGGAGAGCACCTCCGAGAGTGAAGATTATAGAACCAATGGTGATAGTCCATCGTCGACCGGTGTATTCGGTTGTAGGTCCAGCGAACATGGCACCAAAGAAAGCACCAGCGGTGAAGAGCGCAACTACAGCACCACTACAAAAGTCAGTATCCAGAGAATCCCAAGGCGGAGATTGGCGACTTACGTATCGGCAGCTGTGTCGCTAGTGTCGAACTCCCGATGATAAGATGGCGACGCAATGACCTGGGCGATAACACCCAAATCATAGCCAAAGAGCAGCGATCCAAAGGACGCAAACACTCCGACGAGAAACTGGTAAACCTTGGGCTTCATGATGACTGGGTATGCAGACAATGATGGGGAATGAAGTGATCGACACGAGGGAGGATTTCAAGAGCTTTTAATACTTTTCGTCAACGACCCAGAAGCTTGGAACTGCAGAGTACCATCGCCCTTCTCGCGCTCCAATAGCTGATGGTTCCAGCGATAGCAACCCCAGAACTCAATGCATTTAGCGTAAAAGTCCCCATGGGGAATGGGGGCACGCAAACGACCCTCGCGAAAAAAACACGAAACAGCGCCGAAGACATGCTAAGGGAGCAGCCCATTAACAGCGCGTGACATCTCCATAGAAGCGCTCCTTCGTGATTGGAGCGCAAGACGGCGTTGCTAAGCTAGGTGGTGATGGTATGAGAGGAATGCCAAGCTAATGAGGAGAAGGGCAACCCGCGTATTGTTAGCATGGGTTAAGGTCGGGTTGTTTGCCGGATTTGTAGTGCGGGGTTTCAGCTGACATGTTTGGGAGGGCGCTATGCCGCTTTTATCGTTATGTCCGGGAGAGGAGTCGATGCGGAATCGTGCCGGCGTGAGATGCTTTGAAAAGGACAGGGCTGGTCTTGGGTTGATGCATCCGAGGTACGAGCATGTGGATGACTTTGCATGAAGAGAAGATGGGATGAAATTTCATGATCCGAAGTTTGTGATACAGAGAGATCGTGGTATGTCAGTTTATTCGAACGTATGCCAAGACGATCTTGTATGAGGCTACAAACTGGATTGTGAATAGTTCTACGGAGTATCTGGACTCTAACTGGAAATAAACTTTATCTATGCTTAAAGTCTGGGTCCAATGGTGATGGACATCAGACCCAGATATTAATGCTTGTTTTTTGTCGCGTGGTTTTAGTGGGTTTACGAAATGTTGCTCAGCAGCTGCATTGCCCGTGTCGATCTCGATTATCAACAGTTTCATATCGTTTGCATACCATTTTCATTGCTGGAATAATTCACAGCCGAATCCTCTATAGAAATTAATCCGCCGTGTAGAATCGCGTCACTTTCAGCCAATTAATTCCTTAGTGTTCTCATACAGGGTAGGCAATCCTCTGTAACCCACTCGGCCGGTTCGGGTATATCGGACCACTCCTGCCGATTCATGCTATTCCCAGCACAACTGGTGGGCTGTGAGTGCCAGGGTATGTCTCATTGGCTGCGCAGTGCAATCCACCTGATTACCTTCCGTTGTCTGTTATTATTTATCTCTTATCGATTAGCAAGACTTATCAGCTTGGAAAGGGTTTATTTACAGAGTACAGGAAGCTAAATAACAAACAGACTGGAATATTTTATATTCTACATAAAATCTAAATACTAGAAGTCCTAGAACCTAAATTAGAGAAATAGTAGCCCACTCTGATTGTGCAAAATGAGGCAGTAATGAACATCGAATCATCCTATAGTCCATCATTTTGAACTTAAATGGATCCTCTTCGATTTCCGCTTCGACATCAGCTGTAACGCCTGCCCTATGCTGCATAGGGGTTTCTTTATCGCTCACAGGAAAATTCACATCAGAGGAGGAATGTTCTAATGCATACTCCCGAAGTTTCATCTCAAAAATGCGCTCCGCTTCTGTCCGATCATTAACGTTATCCCCTGGGGATGCCTCCCCAATGCCCTGCGATATGATGGTATTGCTGATCAAAGGCCCAAGTTGGGAGGGATACCGGTAATCCTCTCCCCACATCCCGACCCGGATAAACTCACGGTCACTGTCATTATTAAGCGTCTCCTCAACGATAAGTCCGAAGGCCTCGGTGTCCTTATCACTAGGCTTGATGGGCATGATCGCGTTGTCTCGACGAAGGTACAGCGGAATAAGGAAGTGATGCAAATAATCATCGGGGATCTTGCTGAATTGAAATCGGAATGTTGCGTGTTGCTGCTGTCCCTCGCAACCCAGCAGTCGTAACCGATCCAACCCAATTGAACAAAGTTCAATATCATGGTCCTGTTCTAATTACTATTGGGTAGCACAATAAGATTCATCGAGTACCTTACCTGGTTATGATCCTGCCAAAAAAGATAAGTCGCGTTCTTGATGTCGACAGTTCCTTTAAATTGAACCGGTATCAGGAGGCACCTTATCCGCAAGATAGCTTGATCAAAAGACGTAAATGGGTTGGCATCTGCTGGAGTCAAGATACTTTCACTTAGTAGAGCTAATGGCCGGAAGATATGGGATTCGAATGAGTTGGGATCCGATAGTGAGATCCTTGGCCCTTGGTCACACATGGATGCCCCCTCAAGAATGGAACCGGAAAAGCTAAGCCAAGACCATGAAGGCATAACCATAGTCTGTGCCTTCACAAGTATAGACTTTTTCTGATCAACCTGGTATCTTGGTCTTTCTGGGTGCCAGAGAAGACCCTGCATCCAGCTTTCGAGCCACATGCCAGCGAAATATGTATCTCCTGATAATTTGGCTCTTACACCTGCTAGCCCTGATAAGGCAATGAACCTATCTTGTTCATAGGTAAGTTCGCAATTGGTATACCTCTCAAGCACCCAACCCCAGGAATATGCAAGGTCATCGTCCGCGAGGCTGTGCAAAGTCCCCCGATCGTGCGACTGTGAGTCACCCCAAGGCGAAGCTTCGCTTGTGACGCGAGACTCCACGGAACTACCATCACATTCCCACCATAGTTGGTCACTTCCAAGACACAGGATCCGCCTAGACAGGCACCGTTCTTGCAGAACCCACGCCCTGCGATTTATGGGGGATCTGATCACGTCCGTCCTGTAATCAGTCAGATTTAGAGGCTCGACGAAAACGTGATCAGCTTTGTTTGGTGATTGCTGATCATCTCCTTCATCAGTGGGCTGACAATAGGAAGGTGGTTTTGGTCTTGCTATGCTGCGGGGTCGACATTTGCGAAAGACGGTGGCATCAGATACTTCCCAGCAAATCATGATCGTGAGGAAGGAATAGCGATAGAAGTCCATCATCAATGGGGCTTCATGCCGAAAGTCGGAACCGTCATCGTCTTGGATAATACAAAGAGAGTCGATCCAGATATAGCGGATGGGAATTGCCCGACAAATGGATACAACGTCTCTGTAGTCGTGAGGGAAGAGACTGTCGGATTGAGGGTTGCAGTACTCCTGGCAGTTTTCTTCAAGTAGAGTGGGCGTATTCTCGGACCATCGATGCGAAAGCGTGACGTAGGGGACTTTAGCCTGTTGAGTCTCGAAAATACACCATGTTGTCGAGTCCTTGCCACCGAGGTCTAATAATCGCTTCGGCATTTTCGCATCTGGGGACGAAGGTTTCCTCTGCATGCATAAAGAATGCTTGGTGTCACATATACCAAGCCAACGATTCGTAACAAGTGCCGCAGACTGAGGCGTATGCTGGACGGGTATTGGAGTCTCCCTTTCCGCCTCTAGTTCAGTTAGTGAGCTTCTAGAAGAGTAACCCATGGCTAATTCTTGTCACCCACGCTCGAATATCTCCCTGGTAGTCTTCCAAATGCGAAATCGGAACTGTGTCGGTTCCAGACTCTTGCCAGTTACCCAGATCCCCATCGTATACTGGCCATCATCGGGTTTGTAGGTTGCAGTAGTAAGACTAGCTCCAAACTCATCAATATGCCTATCGTGTGGTGACGCAGCTGATGAGGATCGAATAGTCCGCCAGATCTTCCAGCAAACAGGACAATCAGCATCCAGGGATGTTAGAAATGCCTCCCATGATAGATGCATAGGGCTTTGACCTCTGCTGGACCATAATATTTCCAACGGCCGATCTGGACGCGTCTGCTTCTTCCACTTTCGAATTCCTGACAATGGCCCTTTTGTTTCGTAAGGACTGTCAGAGGAAATCGCGATTTCAGGAAGGTCCGGCACTGCTGTGAGGCATATCTTGCAAAGACTCATTTTGACAGGAAGATAATGAGTTTACTGGAGCTCAGATAGAGCTGGCCATGATAAGTAAGGCTGCTTGCTGTAGAAGGTACGATGATAGTGCGATAGTGATATGATATGATGTATTTACCGCGCCATGCAGTGCGTGCTGGTAGATGACTAGGTATCTGGTTAAGCGCGCGCCTATTTCCCTTTAAAGAACGAATCGCACCCGACCTCAGGTGGATTGAGATACAATTATCCAAAAGAACTTTCGTACCGACCTTAGATCCAAAAGATAATTCACTTTTCCCGCTCAAAAATTTAACCGCTTCGATTAAACGCGCATTGTTTCAGGATCCATGTCACAAGCCATGGCCAACTCATCGGACTGGGAATGTCCCCAGTAGAGAGGGGTTTCTAAGCGCCCACTTTTAATGGCCATATAACACCGGAGCTCGCAGCTTTACATCTCTAGATTGTAAGCGTGTTGAAATAATGTTTCAATTTTGGGAGAAGTTCTGTAATATTCGCTACCTTATTGGCAGCCTGAACTTCAACACAGGTGCCTGGGGCTACTTCAACAACTTGCTACAATATCTCGGCCTCTACCAATGGCCAAGCAAGGCAGCAGGACAGATTGACACCTATCCATCTCCAGATAGCAACGTTATAGACGGCGCCAAGCTTCACGTTGAGTAAAGCACTCCGACAGCAAACACAAAGGACTCCCTGACAGCGAGTTCTTTTAGCAATATATCCTGGGATACTACAGAAGACACGCTTTTACAAGTATTCAGCGAATACGGCGACGTCACAGATACTGTATAATCCTTCTTGTCAATATTTATACTACCAGAATCCTGACTGCTATACTAGGTCGTAATGCGCGATACCGAAACGGGTCACTCACGACACTTTGGGTTCGTTACGTTCAGCACGTATGAAGAAGCATGCGACGCCCGACAAGGGCTACATAATGAGGAGTGAGTCAGAACATCCTCTGAATAGCTATCATGCCAATACTGACAAATTATCCATCAGGGTTGATGGGCGTCGCCTCAGGGTGAGGGAGGCTCCCAAAAGAAGACAAGAGGGCCAAGAGAGTGACAAATACAAGATGGCTTAGGCGTCAGTTAAGAAGGTCATCAAGGCCTTGTTTCATTAGTAAAACTGGCAATAAACTATTGGGGCCGTGTTGAGCCAAGTTCATGACAGTTTACCTTAATATAGTCGTTTGACTATTACTAGGGTTTGACATCGAATCTGAAATCACTGACAAAGTGGCTCTTTTCACATGTTGTCCAGTTCTGCTATTGCGCGGTCTTGATTCCAGTGGATCGTATTGTCCAATGACAGGCTCGTCAACCATCATTACAATCGCGCAAACTGGGAATGGAACATGCCCAGGTCTTTCACCCTAATCAGCCAGGGAACAAAAAGCCCCCGACGTAATTTTGACTTTTTTAATTCTGGAATCTGTGATCAAAATCACCTTAATAGTCCAAGATCTCCAGTCGATCCCGAGCTGGGCTGAGACATGTAATCGAGGCAGAGTGAGGTGATTGGCTTACCAAAGATAGACTAAAAGAAGCTTAAGTATTGGTTTAACTACGTCTCGCTATGAGACATACTAGGTCCAGTTCAAAGACATTATACCGTGTTCTGCACGATGACGCGAATGGCTCGAGTGATTGGAATGTCACGTCACAAAAGTAAGCAAGGGGAATATGCTGTCGGCCTAACTTTGAGTATAAGAATGGCAAAACCCCATCCTCTCACTTGAGGCCTTTATCTTTCAAAAAAAAAAAAAAAACACAGACAAAAGTGCACATTACACATTGTGATTAATCCCTCCATAATAATACAAGCCAATATGTCTTCCAAACTCTATATCGGGTAGGACCTCCCAGCAGTACTCACTGGGCCATGACTTGGCAGAGAGCTTACCTTGACTAGAAACCTTGCCGGTAGCACAACCGATGAAAGCCTTCGAAAAGCCTTCGGAAATTACGGCCAAGTCTTGGACTCCGTAAGATTACCTCCGCTCTTAAAGTGATAATACTAATCCACTAAGCAGATTGTAATGCGGGACCGTGACTCTGGTAACTCTCGAGGCTTCGGGTTTGTCACTTATAGCAATTCATCGGAAGCCAGCAATGCATGTGCCAGCTTAAACGATCAGGATTAAGTTCTCAGAGTGGGGTTTTGAAATGGATGATCTGACAGCGTAAAACCTTAGTCTTGATGGAAATCGTATCACTGTTAGCATGGCCAATGCTGAGTCTACTGGTAATAGTGGTGGTGCCTACAACGGTGGTCAAGGCGGTTATGGTGGAGGTTATCAACAGGGAGGGGGATACAGCGGTGGTTATTCCCAGGGAGGATATGGTGGAGGAGGATATGGTGGAGGCAACTGAAGCCGCCGATATGTGATGCAGATAAATGAGTAGAGCTATAATCTACTGTTATCACCCTTGTAAGAGCCCCTGCAACGCTTCTTCAGTATCATATGCCTTCAACAACTCAGCCCTTAGCTTCTCAATCTCATCCTTTTGGTCTCTCCTCACGCCGTCCAGCATTCCCTTGGCCGGACCGATAAGGTGAGCGTCGCTGAGCTCCATGACAACAGCCATAAGCACCAAGCTATCTCCCAACTTCGCGAGCTTGCCGTCTGCATCCAGCCCATTCATGATCTTCAACAGCCTCTCAAAGTCCGCATCACCTGGCTCAAGGATAACTCGCAAGACAGCACCTCCGTCACCATTGACGAGGTACTTGTGAAAGAGGTTTGGCGTAACAGTCTGAGGCTTGCCCACTTCTAGTGGCTGGGCAGAAGATTCCAAGGCTTCCACATCGGGATCAGTGCTCTTGTAGACAGAGATTGACCCTTCGATAAGATCAAATGTTTCAGAGAAGCGTGTATGGTAGTGAGGCGGGACAGTGGTTCCGGGAGTCATGGTTTCGATAAAAATAGTGCGCTTGCCATCGTTGAGGGTTGTCGACTCCTCGAGGCGAAAGCGGCGTTGATCCCAGCGACGTTCTGATGACATGTTGATGAACAAGAGCTATGATAGAGAGAGTAAAGAGTAAGAGTAATTATAAAAATACCGAACAAACATTTCCCTCAGTCCAGATTCCTGTTTAAGTACCCGACTTTGCATCGCATTGCTGACTGCTTATTCAGCGGCTCAACAGTTACTAACCCCGCCACGTTACGCTTTGGGGTTAGTGATTATGAAGGATCCAGATCTGCACCACGAGATATCTTATCTAGGCGCAGTTTCCGATTAGATAGCTTAACCAACATTTCTCCCGGAGTCCTGAAATTCCTTGAGAATTGAGAATGCTGCTGTTACTATTGACATAATCCAAGAGCTAAGCTTACACAGATTCGGCATAGTGCCGATTGATATCTTGCCTTATGAAACTACAAGTGGAACTTGAGCTACCAATCAAATGTTTCAAAAGGAACGGCGCGCCTTACCTACGACCGCCCGCGTTATCAGACCTTCAGACGCTTCCACCCACTCACCTCAACTGCAAATGAGATATTGAGCTTCAGCAGTAAAAGCTATGCATGCTGCATCACTTCTTACCCTCGCAGCTTTTTATGGGGTTGCACGTACAGGCCTTGTCAACCTTGGCGCAACCGTGGCTGTCAATGGTGTCTATTACTTCGTCCACCCTGAGCCGGTTGGAGTTCTCCCCTCATCTTCTACCCTGCATCGCGATAGTAATGTCGAATTTGTCCCGGTGACGGTCTTTGAGGCAATAGATAATCGTTTCGACGAGTCTACGTTCAACGACACCGTCAAGGCTTGGCTTGCTCAGGATGATGTTTTCAATAAAGGGTTTTTACAAGGTGCGTTATTAATCTCTCAAAATTAGAAGATTACGCTCACAGTTACAGCAATCTACGTGAAGAAAGACGCGAATCATGTTCCCGGTCTATTCAACTACCAATATCAAGGGAACATGTCATCGTCGTGGGAAGAAATTGATTACACTTTCAACGTTCCCAACGGTCCTTACATCTTGAACCCATCGACAGGTTCCCTACATACCCCGTATCGCCTTTATCTCGATACTCAAGGTGCCTTCACTCAAGGCGCAATACCCCTCTCGAGCGGATCTTTCGCTCCGCTACCCGCTGCTCTCCCTGGCTCCTCATCCATAACAGTGGGTGTTCCTTCGAGAATCTACCACCCACCAAGTGATGACTATCCGCTCGCTGGTGTGCGCATCGGCGTAAAGGATATCTATGACGTTTCTGGACTCAAGACTGGAGCTGGAAGCCGCGCCTACTATGACATCTACCCCGAGGCCAATGGCACTGCACCCGCAGTACAACATCTGCTAGATGCCGGAGCCGTCCTGGTCGGCAAAATGAAGACGACTCAATTCGCCGCACCCGAAAACGCCAGGGACGCCATTGACTACCAAGCTCCGTTCAATCCCAGAGGCGACGGGTACCAAGAAGTCGGATCCTCCTCGTCCGGAGCGGGGGCGGGTATCGCTTCCTACCATTGGTTGGATCTGGCTTTGGGGTCCGATACGGGAGGGTCCATTCGGGTACCAGCCGAGGACAACGGAATTTTCGGAAATCGCCCGACGCATGGTCTGGTGGACTTGTCGCGGGTTATACCGCTGGGACCTGAGTTTGATACAGCTGGGTTTTTGGCTCGCGATGCAGAGATTTGGGCGACTGCTTGCAGGGTGATGTATTCGAATCTCACAACGAATTATAAACGATATCCGAAACGAGTTCTTACGTACGATCTTCCCTCAACAAAAGACACCGGCCTTTCAGACTCGGACCGCGTTGTCGTTCAATTCGTTGATAGGCTAGTCGAGTTTCTGTCAGCCGACCTCTCAACGTTTAATCATACAGAAGAGTGGTCTCGCAGTCACCCAGCCGGTACGCCAAGTGACTTGCAGGAGTTTGTTGGGTCGACATGGGCAGTGATTTCGGCCAAACAACAGACTCGACTTGTCCGAGATCCATTCTTCAAGGACTATGCAGCCGCGTACGATGGACGTGTACCTTTCGTGAATCCCTCCACCAATGGAAGTTGGAGCTGGTCTGGTAGTCTTCCTCCGCTGCTTGACGAAGCAATCGCAAACAAGACCATGTTCAAGACTTGGTGGGATGAGGTCATGCTCCCCAAAAACGCTGAATCGTGTTCAGAAAGTCTTATGCTCTATACTTTTAAGGACGCTGCACCTGAATGCAGAAGTGATTACGGCAGCGCCATGGGTTCTGGTGATTTGGTAGGAGTTCTGCTCGGCCTGAATACCGGTTTCATTTCACCAATGGTTGGGAATCCGGACTTTTCTATTCCAATTGGTCAAGTCAAGCATCATAGCAGCATCACCAGACATGTGGAGTATTTACCCGTGTCTGTCAGGATGATGGCCGCTCAGGGATGTGATGGTATGTTGTTGGATCTTATTCATGATCTCGTTAAGGCTGGGATACTGCCAGAAGTCCAGCCTGGGAAAAGTCTTAAAGCTAATTAAGTGAGTTAAAGTGTAGCTATATATTAAATGGTTATACAGTATAGCTAAAAGTTAAACTACATTATAGCTTGGTATTAGAATCTAACATTAGATAGGGAATGGGATTACAGGGTAAGAACGTTATAAAACAGTTATAGCAAGTGGGGCAGACCACCAATCACGTCCTTCAAAAGTCTCCGCCCCGCCCCGCGGTGTGGATTCAATTCCCAGGTTTTCCCCTTGGCAAAAGACCTCGGCAGAGAACCTTGATGGCCGCACCTGTCGCCAAAAAACCAACCAGCAACGCAAACACGACACGCTACTATATATGATCTGCTCCCTAGTAGTCTAGTAGGCATGAACCCTCAAAGTATAAGTGACAAGAGCCAGCACCGCGCCTGCGACCCATGCCGTCAGTCTCTTCGTTCTCTTCCCCTCTTTGTAATCATCAGCTGATGACGTACAGGCAAGCGAAAAGTCCGCTGTTCTCGCCACACTCCTTTATGCGAACGATGCTCTCACTTTGCTTTGACGTGCGAGTACTCTCCTATGAGGACCATAGGGAGGCCGAGGAGGGGGCAGCCGCTGGGGTATAGAGCGAATGGCGTGTCGGGGACTGCTGCGTCGCCTGAGGTTATGGATACGGGGAATTTTGCTGGGATTATGGATCAGTTTCTTGATGATTTGGGAACGCCGCTGCCGTCTTTCGATATGGGCTTTTCGACGGAGCAGGATAATGTTCAGGGACAGGAAGCGTTGCCGTCGGATTTGTTCGATGGAGCGGCTATGCGGCAGGACCAGAACGGAGTGTACCCAGGAGCCGCGGAGAAGGCGATGGACATGACGCCGACATCTCAGAATACGGAGAACATAACGACACCTGGGCTCTCGTCTCAGAAATGCTCTTGCATAGAGTTGGTCAATCAGCATTTCTCGGATATCGAGAGCTCACTCGAGACATTCCAAACCCTCAAAGTCTTGAAGCAGTCTCTCGCATCAGCAAGAACGATCCTTGAGTGCACAGTCTGCTTCCAATCCATCAAGAGTCCACGTACATCACGGAATGTATATCTTCTGGGCTCTCTACTGTCTAGCATAGGTTCCTCATACGGCGACTTTTTCTACGCACAGAAGCAGCAGACCGCCGAGTCCTCGGTATCCGGTACTCCGATCCGTCTTGTCGTCGGACAACAGCCAGATACTCATGATATGGTTGAGCTGTCCCTCGACGGACCAAGTTACATCGCTTTTCTACAGGCAAGTCTGAAAGGGGAATTGGATTGTCTTGTGAAACTGGGTGAAGGATTGGCGACGAGACAGAGTCAGCTTCACACCGAAGGTCACGAGAACTGCGAGACGGGAACGAGCTGCTCGAATACAGAGTCACTACCGACAGCGAAACATCCAACTGAGGTGTGTCCGAAGGAAGTCGACATGACGACTGCTTGTGCATGCTTCAGGACTGTAGATCAGGTCAAGGCTGCGATAGCAGAGGCGCAAAGAATCATCTCGGCATGATGATTGCATACACGATTATGACTGATGAATATCCGATAAGCTTTTAGCAATATACCCAATGCTTTGCCTCTCTCAATAACTCTCTCTCTTCTGCCTATGACGTAAATGCAATCACGAGGGCATCCTCATCATGTCGCACAGAATGACTGATTGGAAAAGTCCCCGCGCCTCCTGTTTCACAGTCCAAAACGGTCTAGCGAGGAGAACGCGGCGCGGAAACGGAGCGCGGAGACTTTTGGCGGTGGTGGAGCCATCCGCGGAACACCAAGAAAACAGGTTCAGCATGAGTTGCAACTCACGATGTTTCGAGTATTTAATTAAAATGGAATTCTTCTCAGTTTTGCATTCTCTGAAATCACCCCTTGTATTCAACTTTACTACCCCCACTACTCCCTTGCCACAATATACCGTTCGAAACCATGGGTGCATCTTGTTGCGGGTCTAAGCCTGAGCATGTTAGTGCCAGCTTGGAAGATCATGACCATGCGCATACCGATCATGGCACTGAAACTCCTACAGTTGAGCACGGCGATTCTCATCAGCATGTTCATGTTCACGGTCATGGTCATGCTGACAGTGACAACCACGGTCACGAACATGGAGGATGCTGCGACAACCACTCTGATGCCTCTAGTATCACCTCTCAGGCTTCGACTTGCTGTGGTAGCGAGGAACACTGCAGTGGTAAGTCCCCTTAACCTTAGCCAAGACGTTTTGCCACGCCCCCTCACACCAGTGTTTACCATAGAGAAATGCATCTATGCCATTGCTGCCCTCGAGTGCAAGAAAGCCTGTGACGACGATCCAGGCCACGAAGGTACCTTACCTCCATGCCGCATCGTCACTGAATACCTAACAGAAACAGGCTCACAAGATCAACCCCACGAACACGACCACGGCCTTCACAAGACCGACACAGCCTGCGGTACCCATCTCGAAGCTGCTTTCAACCAGTACAGCAGCTACCTCGAACAAATTCGCTGCATCTGCCGAAGCGCCATCGAACAGGGGATGACGTCCCTCGAAACATGCTGCATGAGCACCCGAACGACCTCAAACAAGAAGCATCGAAACAGGCATGGCAAGAAGAAGGCTGCACCTGTTATACCAGCGTTCAAACCCTCTGGAACGGGGGGCAAGCAAGTCGACATTGAAAACGCTGCAAATCTTGAGACGATTGGGTTTCTTGTTAGTGGTATGGATTGCACCTCGTGCGCAGACAAGTTGCTCCGCATCTTTGGCAGTATGACTGGCGTTTCCAACGCTCAAGTCAACTTCGTCATGGGCAAAGGAGAGTTTGACGTCGATGTATCTATCACCAATGCTGAGGAGGTTCTGAGCTTTGTGTCTGGGGCAAGCGGCTTCATGCTCAGCAAGATCATCGGCGGGAATTACTACCTCGATGTCTTGGCTACAACTTCACAAAGCAAGGAGCTTATCGACAATCCGCCTCAGGGTGTGACCGATGTGCAGTCGCTTGACAAGAAGACAGTTCGTCTGTCATATGAGCCGACGACCATCGGAGCTCGAGATCTGCTGGAGTCGATAAAAGACAGGTGTAATGGTCTGGCTGAACCCCGTGGAGATCCTCAACTCGAAAATAGCCGCCGTCGTCTATGGGATCAACTCACAAAGACCCTCCTTGCTGCTGCCCTCACCATCCCCGTGGCAGTAGTCTCATGGAGCGAGAACCTAGTTGACAAGAAAACCGAGGGAATTGTCTCGCTGATCCTCGGTACACTCGTTCAGTGCATCGCCATCCCCGAGTTCTACCGCCCTGCTATTTCCGCTGTTTGGTACAGTCGAACAGTCGAGATGGACATGCTTGTCGTCATCAGCATCACCGCTGCTTACGTCTACTCCGTCGTTGCATTCAGTTTCGAAATGGCAGGTAAACCTCTTGAAGAGGGTCAGTTCTTCGAGACCAGCACTATGCTCATCACGCTCATCCTCGTTGGTCGCCTCATCGCTGCTTTTGCTCGGGTCCAGGCTGTTTCGGCTGTATCTCTCCGATCCAAGCAGAACAATATTGCAGTACTCGTCGACAAGGAAGGTGATCGTGATATTGACGCTCGTATTCTTCAGTACGGAGATATCTTCAAGGTTCTGCCTCACTCGAGAGTTCCTACTGATGGTATCGTCCTCTCTGGCAAGACTGAGGTAGATGAGTCTATGCTTACCGGGGAAACACTTCCTATTGTCAAGCAGAAGGGCAGTGACTTGATTGCGGGTACTGTTAATGGAGATGGTACTGTTACTGTTCAGTTGACGCGTCTTCCTGGGAAGAACACGGTCACGGACATTGCGCAGCTCGTTGAGGAAGCAGCCAAGTCGAGACCTGAGATTCAAGACCTCGCTAACAAAGTCGCCGGTTGGTTTGTCCCTGCCATGGCTACTGTGGCTATTCTTGTTCTTGTCATCTGGGTCGCTTGCGGTATGGAGGTCCTTGACTACGACGCCGGGAAGAGCGTTGGTAATGCCATCACCTATGCAGTAGCTACTCTAGCAGTTGCATGTCCCTGCGCTCTTGGCCTTGCAGTTCCCATGGTTCTCGTCGTTGCTGGTGGTATCGCTGCTCGAGGTGGTGTCATCATTAAATCGGCTGATACAACCGAAGGAGCTCGCAAGACGACCGATGTTGTCTTTGATAAGACTGGTACGATCACTGAGGCCGAGCTCGCTGTGACTGAGCAGGTGAGCCTAAACGGAGACATGGCAAGTAACCTCGCTTTGGCTAAGGCTCTTGTCTCTGGTGGCAAGCATCCTGTCTCGACTGCCGTTGAGAAGCATCTAGAAGGACAGTCCATCAAGGCTATCCCCGAGGTGGTCAATGTTCAAGTCGTCCCAGGTGCTGGAGTTGAGGCAGACTACCTCGACTCAACCCTCAGAGCTGGAAATGCTCGATGGACTGGAGCTGATAAGCTGGACGACGTGTCGCGCCTTCAGCATGGTGGTCTCACAACTCTTGTCATTACTCGCGATTCTGTTCCTCTCATTGTCTTTGGCCTCTCAGCTCAGATCCGCCCCGAAGCATTGCGAGTTATTTCTGAGCTCAACTCACGCAACATTAATGTTCATCTCGTTTCCGGAGATCAGATCAAGGCTGTCCAAGCTGTTGCAGCATCCGTTGGTATTCCAGCTGAGAATGTTGTTGGTGAGCGTACGCCGCCTGAGAAGAGAGATTACGTCGCTTCTTTGATGGAACATGGCAAGCGAGTCCTCTTCTGCGGTGACGGCACAAACGATGCTATTGCTGTCGCTCAAGCTAATGTTGGCGCTCAGATGGGAGGTGGTCTGACAAGCAGCGATGTGACCCAGGGCGCAGCAGATGTCGTGCTTCTGAACGGCCTTGAAGGCATCCCCTTTCTTCTTGATATCAGCAAAGTCTCGTTCCAACGCATGTACTTCAACTTTGTCTGGTCTGCGGTCTACAATATCCTGGCGATCACCATGGCTAGCGGTGCTTGGGTTGAGTTCCGGATTCCTCCAAGGTACGCTGGGTTGGGAGAGATGGTCAGCGTTATGCCTGTGATTCTTGCAGCGAACTCTATGTTCTTTGCTGGGTATTATAAGTTGAAGGGATGATCGGGGGTTGGTATCTGCAAGACTGGGATTGAGAGCCTGTGCTTAATACATTTTGCGTCAGACCTGATCAACATCAGATGGGCTGAAAAGCTTATCTTGGATAATTGCATAGGCAGCTGGTATACTGCTCGAACTGGGTTTACAAGAGTGTTATTTTGAGTTGATAGATCCCATAGCTGATGCTCACCCGTTAAGTCAAGACTATTACACAAGTAGAGATCGGGACAGGTGACCTGTCTTTAATCCGTTATGTATCGAGGGGTTTGATTCTCCACTTTCGCATATGCCGCTATGTGATGAGGTTACAGTGCCCATGTTATAATAAGAAAGAGTCCTTTCTTTATAACACGGTTATCTGTAACACAAAGAGTTATATCCCCAGTTTGCCATATCAGCGGGGTCGGGGCTGTAACACCAATTCAGAGCCTGTAGTTATTGTTCTTTACCTTTAAAGATGTATTGGGGCTGCTGAAGCCTATTTTAGCCTCCCAGTCTCCGGATGTGCCGGCCCAGTGAAGGCTCGTGGTGGTCCGGCCACCAGTGTCAGCAAGGCATCTTATGGAAGGGCATGACAGCTTATTTAAAGCTCGCCAAGGAAATTAAGTAAAATAATACTATAACAGTGCTTCCTTATGTAATAAGAATAAGTGTCACAATTATTTGATAGCTAAGACTTAGTATTAACATAAAAAGTCATTACCCCACATCCTTCTTTAGAAAAATCGTGTTAAAGGTGCCTGAGGCACCTACCTTATATATCAGCTGGACCGCCCGGCCCGAGACCTTAGTTAGCCATAGTCAATACACACACATCCCTCTCAACAAATCGCATATCAGCATAACCGCAAGTATTATTTGTCTACTCTGCACATTTCACCTCGTTCCAGATACAAAGGTGATCATTATGGGTAAAAATCACAAAGCAGTGCCTAGAGCTAGAGTTCGGTCTAAACGAGAGCAATATGTCAACCAGGCTTGGTAGGTAGCCCGCCGCTCACATCACACAATGCAATACGTATAGCTGACTGTAGCTCTAGCACCTGCTGCAGACGACGAAAGACCAAGTGTGACGGCAAGTCTTTAAAGCCCCAAGCATAAAAATAATGCTAAGTCCAGCGGAAAGGTGAACAACCTTGTAGGGGGTGCTCTTCGCTGCGTAAGATATGCGTGTATGAAATGCCGCAAAGTCAGCCCAAGCCAGCCCTGTGCGTCGCCACGATCCTAGAAGAGCATTCTGTTAATATCTTATAATAGGGCGAGCCCTCAGAATACACTGACCGCACCTGTCCATACTATGAGTTCTGGTAATACCGCTGCCGAAGGAAATTCCAAGGCGAATACAAATCAATCAACCCATAGCTATGGAGAAACCCGGAATGTCCAAATCATGCCAGATACTTTGCAAAGCGTTCCCGAATTCTGCGGTCCGTCAAGCTCTGAATTCGCCTTCAAAGCCGTTAGCCATAATCTCAGGGAGATGGGCCTGCCTTCTGCTCTCCTCAGCAAGTTGAGCTGTGATAGTGGTAGCGTTTCCGAGGTCCCATCGCACTTTGCGAATTATGGCCCGTTTATGAAGCTTGTGGCTATGGATCCGTTATGGGATATACCGAAAGCAGACGCTGTTACTCTTGTTGAGAAATGGTTCACTAATATGGGTAGTCTTTACCCGTTTCTCCGTGAGGAGAAGCTCAAAGATACGGTCGATAGAGTCTATGCAGTTATAGGGCCCATCAGCACCGGGACGCCAACCCCTAGGAGAGAGCTAGCAACAGAGGTTCTTTTGAATGACGAGACTAACAAGCTGAAGATTGTTCTCGCTGTTAGCAAAACAATGGAGAATGGTGGTAGAAACGATTTGGCCCAGAGGCTGTTTCAAAGTACAAAAGAAGCAGTCGAGAGTCTGATGTGGAACCCAAGTGGCATCAGCGGCATACAGCTGTTGGTATTGACTGTCAGAAGCTCTGTTACCAGTCCAGACTGGCCACTAATTCGCTCTGTAGGCCATTTATCATTATCAGCTTGACGACGAAGTACGCACTGGGAGGATGATTGGGCTTGCAGCAAGACTTTGCTTGGAGATAGGACTACATCGACACAAAACTATAAAGCAGGTGTTTGCGAATCACGAGGAGCGAAAGACTGCGTTGAATGTCTTTTGGTCTGTATACATGCTCGAAAGACGCATTTGTCTTGGCCAGGGTATTCCTTACTCTATCCAAGATTCCTACGTGGACCAGTCGCTGTTTCTGCAGGTTGGTGGCGTGGAGATCCAAAAAAGGAAGCTTGTTTACTGATGCCTCTTTAGGATAACTCAGATCCTGTACTTCGCTGTCTGCTCCAGTGGACCAAGCTTGTAGGTAGCGCGTGGAGGATTATGAACATTGACGGAGAGAACGGAACAGAGGTCCACGGGGATGATCTCGAGGATCTGGACGCCCAAGCTAGTCAATGGTACGACGATCTACCACAACACTTGAAGCTCGACGCGAGCATTGGACCAGGTCAACCATTCTCAGCGTCGCTGTTTATTCAAGCAGCTCTGTATCTACGGCAGAGTCTCTTTCGCAACTTGATATTCCGGCCTGTACTGCAGTCTGGATCTCGCATCAGCCAGCACGAAGCCAAGGCTTATGTCGCAATAGACCTGGCCAAAGGCGCGGTGTCGACGCTTTGCATACTCAGTGCTCACAGAACCTTGATATTCTCTCATGTGCTCTTCTTCAAACATCTTTTAGTCGCAGCATTCGGGAATATTCTACTCGCAGTTGTTCATGCCCACGGCATGTTCTGGAATACCGTTCAAACGGAGTTTGATCAAGCGCTTGATCTTATTGAGCTTCTTAGCACAAGGTCACCTCCAATGCTCCGACTATGGCAGCGCCTGCAGGGCTTGCGAGAGCTTCCAGAGAGGCTAAATGGGTTGTCAAAATCGGCGTTACCAAGTGACCTTGAGAAGCGACCGGATGAAGACTGTGGAAGGGATGGTTTATTACCGGGCTCACCAACCTATTCGACACCCTTTAGCTCGACTTTACCCTTTGAATCCTTACTGGGGGACTCCACGTTCTTGTCCGAGATCGGGATTGGAGTTGATGGATTTCCTGACTTTTCGTTTCTTTTGCACGAACCTATTGAATAAAGGCGTTATCTTGGTATTTAAGCTTATATAAAGGACAGCTTACTTTATATATAAAGCAATGCTATGGACATATATACGCTTAAGAAATCAAGGCAATATCAGTTCTATATATAAACGCCCTTAGCCAGATTGATGACGAGCTGTCCAGGTCTCCATTGAATGCCTTTTCCGACCCGAGGATCTTGAATCTCAATCATCGGCAGTTGAATATGCGGGGAAATTTACTGCACTAGTTCCGATGCACCCGCTAGTTCCGTGGTGCTCAAGGACGCTAGTTCCGCCTCCGCGATTCCGTGATGATTTTATGTGGCTATGAGCTCGGAGTAGTGTAAGCAGGTAACCTTACAGACATTTAAATCAAGTATAAAGGCTTTAGCTATATCCATTTGTTTTGCTTCACTCTTGTTATACATTCCATTGCTAGAATGTCACTCAAGACTGAATCTTTTATTATCTGGGCCATGAGCCTGCCCATTCTTCTTCAAGCGTCGACCGTGATCGGCTTCTTGGTACTGGTATACATTGTCTACTATCGCTATCTCCACCCACTGGCCAAGTACCCCGGTCCCCCTCTTGCCTCGGTCACCAACTTATGGAAGACCTACCACCTTTGGAACTTGCATCTTCCGCATACGCTTGTTCGTCTGCATGAGCAGTATGGCGACGTCGTCCGGGTCGGACCAAACGACTTGTCATTTCGTCATCCTGATGCAGTCAATACCATCTACAAGGCAGGTCGGCAACTACAAAAGACGGGGTTTTATGATGGATTTACGACTTTCAATCCCAACTTGTTTGGAACACAAGATGAAGAGGTATGCCAACAGTTATTTGTGAATGGGCTAAGTTCTCCGTTCAACTAAGTCTTGATATCAGATTCATGCCATCAGGCGTCGCCAAATGGCCCATGCCTTCTCCATGCAGTCCATAAAGGACATGGAGCACTTTGTTGATAGCCATATCCTGAAATTTAGGGAAAACCTGGATTATTTCTGCGATAACAACCAAGAGTTTGATCTGAAGGATCTGATTGCCTTTTATGTCCTTGATGTGCTAGGTGAGCTAGCCTTTAGCAGAAGTTTCGACTCGCAGGATGAGAGAGATCTAGCCCGGTTACCGCCCATCAACGACCATATCTTGCTGGCTTGCTTGATGGGAATGACGCCAGAAGCTCTTCCGTGGATCAAGAAGGTTCTGCCATTTATCCCCATTCCAAGGCTGCAACGTCTGCTCGACGCTCGTGCGCAGCTTCGAAATCTGACTGCGGCATGTGTCCGGCAAAGGATTGAAGCTGGATCCAGCGACCGCAAGGACCTTCTTTCGTCCTTGTTGGTGGCTGTTGACCCTGAGACTGGCTCCAAGCTCACAGAGTTGGACATAAATACCGAGGCCTTTGCAATGATGTAAGTGACATTATGCCAATTTCCCAACTTACTTCTCACCAATCGCAGTGTCGCCGGGTCTCATACAACATCAGGCACCCTGACGCTCTTATTCTCCCATATATTGCGAAGCCCCGAGACCTTGAAGAAAGTTATCCAAGAATTGGATTCGAACTTTTCTAATCATACGGGTCTAGTCATTTCCTACGAGGACCTCGAGAAGAATCTACCATATACAAAGGCATGCATAGATGAAAACTTCAGAATCAACCCCGTGTTTACCATGCCATTACCCCGAAAGATTATGGCTCCAGGTGGACTCGTGATTCAGGGACTTAAAATACCTCAGAAGGTGAGATTAAACAACATAATAGAATCATCAGAGTCTAACAATGTATAGACCACTGTCTTTGCTCTGAACCATGTCGTTCACCATAACCCATCGGTTTGGGGCGAGGACCACGAACAGTTCATCCCAGATCGCTTCCTTGGTCTTGATGGTAAAGAGCTCCAGGGATATTTATCACCTTTCAGTACTGGACATCGCATGTGCATAGGCAAGAACCTGGCGATGATGAACATTCTGAAAGTGCTCTCAACAGTACTGAGAAATTACAAGCTGGAAATGATCCACCCGGAAGAGCCTGTTGACACCTTGAGCGTGGGTATTTCTGAGAAGAAGGGAGGGTTAATGTGCAGAATATCGAGGAGATAATCTTGGCCGACAATATCGCGGCCGAGGCAAACCCGAGGCGACTAGATAAGTAGCGCGTCTAGATAAGGAAGGCTCCAAGCCATATACAAGTACACGTTTTGATTTGGCCTAGTGGACGTCCTACCTGCTGATCACAGCCGATCCGTCCAGATGGTGTAGCATCGGGTCGGAATGGTATCGGATCTGGGGAGTTGAGGTTGGGGAACTGGAAGCGCTGTCAATTTGCGCAAGACTACTTTCCGTCATTATTACCTAACTCGTGTTGTCAGCGCAGGAGATGCTATTTAGCAACTATAAATACACTCCTCGGCTCTTGAGACGTGGGTTACCGGTCATCAGACCAACCCGTCTTCTAAAGCCTCAAGCTACGGATTTGTTATCAACATGGCAGGACAGCAGCCCCCCCGCATTCACAATGAGATTTACCCATTCCTTCACCCATCAAAGTTCAAAAACTCTCTAAAGGGACAGATTGCTGTTATTACTGGTACGTACCTCGGGACAAAACTGTTGTCACCATTTAACGCCAAGTAGGTGCTCTTGGTACCATTGCCGGTGCTACCGCAGAATGCTTTGCTACTGCCGACGCCCGTCTCTTCCTATCCGATATTCAGCCCTCACTGCCAGATTCTACCAAGGATTATCTTTTGCATCTTGGTGCTGATGCAGTGCATTATTCTCGCTGCGACGTTGGCAACCCCAATGAGTGCGAGGAACTGGTGAAACAAGTAAGCCATGCTCAACAGTACGCCATGGCATATTCACTAACAGAGATAAAAAGGCTGTTTCCACCGTAGGCGATATTGATGTACTCATCAATGGTGCTGGAGTTGTTGGTGTCCGCGTGGTAAGTCTTAAGTCTGGAACATTTTCCAAAACGCAAGAATTAAGCTAAACTATTTATACAGTTCCATAAGCAGGATCCATCTCTTTTCTTACGAGACATGGCCATTAATTTCAATGGTCCACTAGTGCTGATGCGTTTGGTCTTACCGAGCTTCATTGAGAGACGCCGAGGGTGCGTGATCAATATCGCTTCCAAAGCTGCCACCGTGGACTTTCCGTTCAACATTAGTTACTGTACCAGCAAGGCGGCTTTGGTCAAATTAACAAGCGTCCTACAGGCCGAAGTAGATGAAGTTGTACCATCATCTGACATCAGTTTATACGCGATCCACCCTGGCGCGGTGCGTTCAGGCATGAAGACAGCAGGTCAGTAAACACCGATTCGTATCAGTTCTTATCAGATATGCTGACGGAACATGTGACACCACTAGATGGCCACCATGATGCCGCACTTGCAGAGTTCCCTCAAGTCTTTTCCCGCTTTGAAGAGTGGATGAAACGATTCATCGGCTCGCCGCACTTGGCTGGCATGTCATGTGTAGCTCTCGCAACGGGCATTGCGAAGGATGTGCTGAGGGGCAGATACTACGATGTCGAGCAGGATCTGGAGGATATCATTGCCCAGGCATCGTTGTTAAAGGCGGATCCGCTGCTTCACACTCTGCATATCAGTATGCTCGGGTCATTGGAACGGGAGCGGGACATCACACCTGATTATTTTCTATCCTAGACCAGTTCTCGACCGCTATGCATGTTCAGCTCAGCCCGGATAAACGACTAGACTAGTGACGAAATCTATTTTCAATACCCTGGAGATTGTATGCCTAGCTAATGATAATAGTAAAGAGTAAGAGTTCGGCGTTTCATCTGAGGCAGTTGGGATATGGATCCAGAGATATAGACCCCCTTGTGTGAGCCTGTGAGGCGCGCGATGTGAGCCATCAGCTGTGGGGTCTATCAACTCGAAATAATACTCTTATCAAAGTCGGTCCGGGTAGTATACCAGCTACCCAACACAATACTGCCCAGGACACGGTGACGTTAAAGGTCTTTTCAGGTAAACACCCATATTCAGGAACCGCAATTAAGAAGCGGGAGAATAGCCGGATTCAAAAAGGTATATTGGTAAGCATCCATCGGAGATGTTGACACCTGCCTGATTGGGTCATCGGAGCACCGGCCGATAGCTACCTTATCGGGCAAGTGGTTGAACTAGCGAACTTTGGAGAAGTTAGATAAGGCAAGGAATGGGCCAGCTTCCGGTGGGAATTGCTGTACAATATGATTCTTTGGCAGATTTATGTGGATCTTTGGAGTCGAGAAAAGATATCTTTTTGATGCTAGGTTGACAGTGCTAAGTTGAGGGGTCTCGGGTGGCTGACAGCTTAGCAACATAAGCATTTAAGCTTATATTATATGCCGCTTGGTCTCTTTCACTGTGTCGCCCAAGTGGAGAACCATCAGGGACGATGGGAAGGTGGTCTTGGCAATATCTGGACGATGTTACGTCCTGCAAGGATACGGTACGGGACACAGTCTTGAATTGAGTAGGGACTTTTTCACTCTCGCCCGCTCTCGGTTTTTGAAGAATGGTATGATGTCAATCATGGATTTGTTGCCGTGAATGGCAGGGGAGAGCGGAATGCTAATGGTGATGCATAGGGCAGTGATTGACCCCCTTCAATATATATGTCTTCGCTAGCCGCCCTCCTTTTGCACAACTGAGCATCCTTTCTGTAACAGCAAACGCCTTGCTAGAGCAACCATAATGACCCGTCTCGTACAGGTACTCCTTGCAGCCGGAGCCACTCTTGTCGGCCTCACCTCTGCACAATGCAACCTCGCCCCCACGGCCAGCATCGCTACCGCTGATGGAGTCGAGTTCAAGCTCCTGCGCACCGGTCTCCAGCGCCCTCGACACCTCGTTTTCGACACCGAGGGCAATCTTTTAATCGCCGAGGCTGGCAGCAAGGGCGTGAGGAGAGTTGTCCTCGATGATGGCAAAGACCTCGATGTTTGCATCGACTCTGACGACGCCTTGATCTCAAACGCGAATGTACGTCTCTCCAATCATGCATGTTCTTCAGCGATGAGGATGCATTATTAACAAGACTGTGTGAACATAGCTGAACCACGGCATTGCTCTGACCGCTGACGGTAAAACAATTCTCGTTTCTACGCCCAGCGAAGTATACGCGTACGACTACGATGCCTCGAAAGGCACCGTCGGCTCTCGTCGGACCGTCATCACGGGTATGAGTGCCACTTCGACTCATTCTACCCGCACCCTGACAATCCCTCTCGCTGGCAATCCCAACCTGTTGCTCGTTGCTGGCGGATCTGATGGTAATTTGGATGTCGAGACTGTGGACAAGGATGTTGTGCGCAGTCAGGTGAGAGTTTTCAAGATCGATGAGCTGTTGGCAGCGGATGCTCCTCTGGTGTATGGTGAGGCGGAGGTACTTGGCTGGGGCCTTCGTAACAGTGTTGGCTGGGCGGAAGACCCTTCTACAGGACATATCGTAAGTGCAGCTTTTCCTTTTCAGCCAGGACCTTGTACTTGGTTGAAGAGCTTTGAACTGACGTTGTATACAGTGGTCCGTTGAAAACTCGGTCGATAATCTCTATCGCGGTGACGTCGATGTCCATAACACCAATCCTGGTGAGGAACTTAACTTCCACGGCCTTCCCAATGACACCTCCAGCGCCCAATATGGTGCCAACTATGGATATCCTGGATGCTTCTCCATCTACGACACCTCCAACATCAAGGATTACCCAGTCGGGGCAAAGGTTGGTAAGCAGTTTGCTGGCACACCGCAGGGTGAGACAGATCTAGGATTCACAGATGAGGAATGCCAAGAGAAGCAAGCTCCTAGGATCACGTTCGGATCACACCTTGCGCCCTTGGACATCAAGTTCCTTGATGGTAGTGCGGCATACATTGCATTCCATGGAAGCTGGTGAGTGCCCTGAAGATACAACTTACCTTATTGCACGAGTAGTCCCTAATCGATTCTAGGAACCGCAACCCCGGTGATGGCTACCGCCTTAGCAAGGTGGACTTTGCCAATGGCGAGCCAGTGCCGGAATCTGATGATCCTAAAGCTGAGGTGCCGCTGATGTGGAATACGGACAATACCAAGTGCCCTTCTGGTTGCTTTAGACCGGCAGGACTAGCATTCGACAAGTCCGGAAGGCTGTTCCTGACGAGTGATTCTACGGGAGAGCTATATGTTCTAACTGGCGTTTAAGTCCTGATTCCCTTGGGAGGTGTTAAGTAGATAAGTTACACTTGAGAGAACTCAATTCATTCTTTCTATTAAATTGTGGCCATGCCCAACCGTTAAACAAAGGAAACGATCTATCTGTGAAGTTAAAGATCAACGGCAAACACCGAGCCATCACTGTTGCCGCTGTAAGTGAAACCACATTTCCCATTGCCAACAATGAAACCAGCCCCAGTATCAGCGCCCTTCTTAGACATAAAGTAGTTAGGATGATTGCTCTGCGACTTGCACGTCGAGCCAGCGTAGTATAAAAGGAAACAGTTGCGGTTAGCAGCACGGAAGCTCCACGTCTCGCAGCCAGTGAACTGCATACAAGAGCTACAGCACTCTTCAGGACTGCTGGCGCCATTTGCGACGATCTGGAAATCAGAGGGAATACCAGGTCCGTTGTTGAGAACGTTGGTAACGTAGTAGCCTGTGCTTGCGCTGTTGAAGTCGGGGCCAAACATGTTTGCTTCTTTGCAAGCTGCATATTCGGTTGGGCCGGAGATGACCTTTGTTTTGGTGGCGGTGGCAGATTTCGTTGTTGTCTTCCACTTAGTGGAGTAGGTGGTGACCTTCATGGAAGTAGTGAAGGACTTGGTGACAGATACGTCTTTGGGAATGAGAGTTGTGGTGGTAGACATTGTCTTGACGACAGTGGTTGTCTGCATACTTGCGACCGTCTTGGTAACTGGAGTACCAGTTTTCTGGACAACCTTTGTGTTGGCATTGGGAAGAAGCTTTGTGCCTGTGCGAAGATCAGACAATCGTCCGTAGACATGGAGATATACGCTAGAGTGAACTTACACTGAACCTTCGAAGGGAATTTGAAAGCTTTTATTCCAGGCTTGATTATCGCTCGGGCATGGGGTTTCTGGAACAACTTGTCACGCTTTTGCGCATTCAGAGACCTTGAGTTGACTGTATCGGAGATGAACTTGAACCCTGCAGTAGTTGGGATCTGAGTAGTAGACGTTGAAGTTTTTGTGCCTGTCTTTGTGCTGGTAGTAGTAGAAGTAGCAGTCACGATAACAGTGGCCACCTTGAACAGCGTGGTAGTGGTGCTGAAAGTGTCGGTGCCGCCTTTGCCCGTGACGGTGAAAGTCTTGGTGGAGAACACCGTGATTGTTGACCATTGGTTGGCTTTCTTAACCACAGTCGGAATAACTGTGGTTGTTGTTGTAGGGACTACACTGTCTGTCTTGGTGACGGTGATAGTCTGGACATCTGCGACTGATTCCTTGCCAAGTTTCGTCCGGCAGGTCACATCGTCGTCGTCGGCTGCGAGGACGGTTGATGAGAGAAGGGGGAGAAGGAGAGCGGAGAGTAGAGTGGTCTTCATAGTGGATGATGAAGATCGAATAGTTGGAGGGAAGAAGGATTTCTGTGCTGTTCTACTAACTACAAGAATTTTATAGCACCTGTCGTTATATACATCTCAAGGTCTACACATACTACAAAAGCTCCTATAGTATATGAATGCGGTTTTGCCACTTCAGAAAACACAGTCCAAAAGTCCAGAATCTTAGGCTCGCAACCTCTAAAGTGATCTGCAAACGGCCATTCCCCTGTTCTGAAGGACGGACCAAAACGTGTTCGAAAGAAATGCACTAGCGCAAAGCTTCTCGAGAAGAAGGGTCGGCCGCGATGGCGTTGTCCAGACCCCAAGCCTCGGAATGTGAACATGGGAAAGTGGTCTCCCTTCCATTCCTCGATTAGCTCCATTTTCCCCATATTCTCAAAACGTGGCCAGCCACTTTTTGTCTTGGCCAGATCCAGAAAGAAACTGCGAGCCAATCAATGACAGGCAGGGCGATAACAAACAATTGGTTACCCTGTCAAGGGGATTTGCCAGCTTAAAGACTCGATTTCATTCACAGGAGAATACGGGAGAGGAGGTTTCTGAACATCTTGACTGTTAAGAACTGATTATTTGTCGTCTGCTAAAGCCTGTGATTCCATGTGGCCGTCATCTGCCCTGGGCGGTGCACATGAGCCAAAGTTGTGGTATTGTACAGTCATTCACGATGTAATTGGACGAAGGCTGGATAACCCTCAATGGGACTTCGCAACGTCGCATGCCTTTTCTCATCCTGTCTACAACTATTGCGATGCATACCAGACTCGTTGAGCATTCAAGCCTGGCAAAGTCAAGCATTCGCTTATCCAAACAAGCTTTTTGCTTACCTGGTTCAGCATCCCATTCCGTGTGAGTCCAGGGCCTGGAGTGGTTAAGCTTATCTCCCCGTCCCAAGCAAAGAGTAGGCAAAAGATAGTAGTGCCACGTTTACCGCCACCATTTATTGCATCGAGGATTTATTGCTATACGCATAAATACCCTTCACCGATGCATCCAATTCGTTGTTTTCGATCTCAGCCACTCATTTCTTTATCAATAGGAGAACTTGGACTCGGCGAGAAAGCTCCTTGCCTCGGGCACGATCCGCACGTGGCGGCCCGGGACAATGCTAGCTCAGCCATGCATACCAGCGGTGCGTAGTAACCAGTCTCAGATCAGACATGACTTTGCTGCACACGGGAGAGCGCTTGGAATTCGATAAGTTACCTTTTTTCTTTTACACATGTTGTAACTGTGAAGTTGATACGTATCAGTGTTGTGAAAGCTAAAGTAGGACGATTAAGCTAGAAAGTACTGCATTCAAGGTTGCATACTAAAGTCCAGACTTTTCTGGATATTAGCTTGCATATTGTACGGGAAACAAACTGATCCGGCTATCCAAAGGTGGCTTGTTCTTCATACCCTACTCAAGCGGTTTATGGATACTTGCGGCACTGTTGACGGGCTTTAGGAATAGTCACAATAGTGACAACTGAGAATCTGACTATCTCAGCAAGATCACAGGGGTTATCGCAATATGACGGAGTTGTCCTGGCCTCTTGAAGTGCTATTAGATTCTCATATCACGTTCTCGGGTTGTTATGTATGTCATCTGTAGTATTTCTCTTTCTCTTCAATTTCATCCCACTACATTGGCTCTTGGTGCACGCAACCATTAGGTATTCATCATGATGCTCACCAAGCACCTTGCTTCTTTTATTGTTCTTCCTTTCTTCATCCTTAGCGTTTCTGCCGCCCCAAGCCATGACCTTCCAATTCTCAACCGTCGAGATGATGCCAACGCTACAAGCACTAGCGATAACAGCACAACTCTCGAACCCATCATCCCCCCAGAGGTTGACCCCAAAGACTTTTCAGTCTTCACCCTTGATAAGCAGGTCACTCTGGCCTGGGCTGGTACACCAGACTCAGAGCCTGGGTCGAAACGAATGCGAAAGCGCGATAACGCTATATTCTCGCAGGCCAACTTTACCTTTCGATACCCCGTCATCCCTCTCGATCATTCTGTTTTTGTCTCGAGCGTATCTTGCACCAAGGGTGCATTAAGCGGCGTGATATCCAACTCTGCTGCATATAATTATGCCAAGGCGCAGTGGAAAGGCGCAGGAAAGATCATCTTCATCACCTCTGTGGATGGTTGCGGAGAAGATCATGCCAATGACTTGTTCCTGTCTCAATCCATCGCATTCAACGACACCACGAAGGCGTTCACTGCTAAGGGTTCCACAACTGAATATGCCGATGTATATGAGCGCTTCAAGCTTGACTTTGGCAAAATCGGCACACTCAATGTCAGGCGGGCCATCGACAAGAGAGCTGTAAGCTGCAACTGTTGCTGCCAATCGTCCGGTTTTGAACTAACTTGATACAGATGTTTGAGCCACATATGCTTGAGAAGCGCCTGAGCAAGACTTGGTCCTATGAATGGTCTCAATATCTCAACAACGAAGATATCCTCGGTACAGATGAAGATGCGCCATGGGAAAATGCTGCAAAGCTCATCGAATGGGGTTCAGAAGGCGGAGAAGAGGACGATTCATATTCCAAGGGTGAAGTCGCTGACCCAAACGGCCATCACAAACGCTGGGATAACGCCACACTTGCAGAACGCGACTTGTCCTACGGCCTGATCCTCTATTGCGTCGAGTGTGGATTTGGCGGCAAGGCTTCACTTACCGGAACCATCGAAGCCAGTATCTTCAGCGGCATGGAGACAGCTCAGATCCAGTTCAACGCTCAGTTCAAAGCCGGGCTCAATCTTGGCCTCAAAGCTTTCGTCACGTATGAGAAGGAATGGACATATCCTGTCGCCGAATTTTCTCCCTGGAACTTTGGCATTCCTCTTCTATGCACTGTTGGGCCTTATATCGGTCTCGATGTTCAAGCTGGAATGACTATTGAAGCAACTGGTACCCTACTTATTGGAGCTTCGGTCGAGTGGGAGAACATTGACATCTTGATCGATCTCCTAGACTCTAGCAATAGTCACTCCAATGGTCTCACTCCCGTATTCACACACAGAACTGAAGCTACTGGTGAGCTCAAGATGGAGGCGTCTCAAGGTCTCCCTGCGAGTGTTGGTGTCAAGCTAGATGTCTTATCAGGATTATGGTCAGCAAAAGGCGGAGTAGTCGATACACCATCGGTTGTTTTGGAAGGGAGCTTTGAAGTCAGTGCGACAGTCACTGATGACGGCGAAATTGTCACGGATGTTAATGGCGATTGCTACGGCATCGCCTGGAACATCCATTTTGAGAACACTCTTGAGGCCTTTATCACACTTGGTAGCGACACAAACAAGTTTCCTCTCATTGATCCCCTGGAGAGTGATCCCATTGCTGAAGGTTGCATTGGCTACGTCAATGACGGAACTGGCGATGATGGGACTGATGATGAGGGAGGCATGTCTGGAACCGGAATGGACTGTGGTGGTAGCGGTCTATTCGCTGATTGTGCTGGGCCACAGCCAGCGCCTGTCTTTGATCCAACATCCAAGAAAAAGACTGGCAAGAAGGCCGACACCGAGGCCACTAAACAGAAGGGTACGGCTCAGAGCAAGTCCAGCATCAGTGATAAGAAGGCTACCTCGAACAAGAAGCCAAGGGTATCAACAACTAGCAAGAAACCTACCAGCACCAGCACTAAGAATCCGACAAAGACCTCAAGTGTCATAACAGCCACTACCAAGAATACCAAGGCTACCCAAGCTGCAAACAGAAAAGTAAGCCCGGCTAAAGCATCCACGACTTCCAAGAAGACAGCACCAGCCTGTACTCCCTCGGCTGTCGCCAACACCAAGGCTCCTCCACGTTCAGTCTGCAAGAGGAACGTGGCAAAGGCTCGTGTCCCCTCCAAATCCATCATCGGCACAGCCTCTTCTGTGAAGAACGTAAGTACTTGCGCCGAGACCTGTTTGAAGAGTACGCAGTGTATGAGTTTTGGATATGGTGAGGATAAGACGTGTCAACTATATGGGAAGAACCTCAAGAGTCTTGGTGTCACATCGGGTAAAGGGAAACAGGCTTCGCTGTTTTATGACAGGAAGTGCTACGCATTTAGCGAATGTCCCAAGTAGCATGGTAGATGTTGAGGATGGACCGAGGGGGACAGGCAGCAAGCCTCAATTTGCATAATTTCTTTTGTCAGTCAATACGATACGTCATACTACGTATGCATCCTCTCATATCTTGTCATCATAGGTCTTTCTGTCATGCGAATATATACTGTGATGTATTGTCATCCGAGTCCACCGAGGATTTAACTATGTACAGTGAAGGATGTGCTGGATCCCTCGGTAGGACTGGACCATTTGTATATAATAATACTTCCACCAGGTTGCAATATACAAGGAATGTGAGATCTTCCTCCCCACTTCTCAAATGCAAGACTTGGAGATAGTCAAAGCATTGGCTGTCCTCAAAGTCTGCAAACCCTTAGATTATTTAGCAGCGGAGCTTAGCGCTAGTACCAGCCGCGGCGTTGAAGAAGCTCCAGGTCTCACCAGGGGCGAACTTCTGACCGTTGGCAGTAGGGTCGGCAACGTGGCCACCACCGTGTCCGATCCAAGTAACGGGCTTGCGGCTGCAGGTGTAAGAGGTCTTGACGTAGTTCTGGGCACCGGGAGAGGGATCGTTGACCTGCTTCTGCTGGCAGCCGTTGGTGCCGATCCACTTGTCGCGGAGCTGGCGGCCCTGCTGAATGCTGAGAACGTTGTCGGCGGATCCGTGGATGTGGAGGTAAGAGACGGGAGTGTTGCCACCGTTGCAGCCGGAGAGAAGAGCACCAGAAATGACGGCGACAGCAGCGAAGTCGTCTATGATGAGTTAGTATATGACTTGGGATTTATAAGGATGATGACGTACTGGGTCGTGAGCAGGCGACACTGTGGCTCATGGCACCACCATAGCTGAATCCGGTAGCGAAAACTTGCTTCTCATCAATGCAGAGGTTCTGCTTGGCAAAAGCAAGCATCTGATCAGTGAAGGTGATATCCTCACCGCCCTGGTTAGCCCAGCCAGCGTTGAGACCGTTGGGAGCGATGAAGATGGTAGAGTCGCCAGCCAAGTTGCGAAGACCATAGTAACCGCCCTGGACAACGTTGCCCATGTTTCCGCTGAGCCAGTGGTAGCCGAAGACGAGACGGTGGGGTTTGTTGTTCTGGTAGTTGTTGGGCAGCTGGAGGGTGTACTCGCGGTTCTTGCCGTTGACTTGCATGGTCTTGACGCCGCTGGAGGGAGGTTGCTTGCCACAGCCAGCTGAGGCAGCGTCGCCGAGCCCAGCTGAGGCGAAGAGGGCGAGGGTGAGGGTGAGAAGAGACTTCATTGTGAACGAAAGGACCGAGCCTGTTCTTGGTGATTCCAGGTGGAGAAGAAGAAGAAGAAAGTGGTTGGTTCTGTCTGGCAGATCCTTGTGTGATGAAGAGGAATTAAATCTCTGAAAGTTGAAGAACTGAAGATGATTATATAGTTCTCGTATTACTCGACGTTGCCCTGATTTCCAGCTGCCGAAGCTTCACCCGTGCCAGCCCTGAATACTCCTCACCAGGAGTTTCCCAAACCGGTCATCCTGCACAGATCATTGTCATGCGCAGTCCAAACAAGTTCACCCGGTAGTCAATCCATTTCTCCAAACAGCCGACAATGTCCATCAATGATCGAATGAGGGATCCGGAGTCTGTGGGTCCGTGGGCTACATCCCCTGTCGCACTGAGACTTGCATGGGGATGTTTCGAAACAGCAATAGTTTCATTATTAGCCGGTAGGTCATTTTCCATCAATTGCTGAGGATGTCTGTTTCTTGGACGCTGGCACTGAAATTTCGCCTACAATTATTGCCAAACAAGCGTAAAATTAGGATTATTACCTCAAAACCTTCCAGAAAACTTGACATCGCAAACTGCGTACCGTTTGGGGCACTTGCCCCGAGCTGAATGCCTTGTTGGGCTTATCGATAAGCTGCCTCACTTCGGACAAGTTTTTCCTGATGGGGCGAGGCTGCAACGGGAGAATTGTTAAAAGACGGCGTGATGGCTATAGCATACTTGAAATGCATAACACGATCAAATTTACCAAATATGGTATTGGTGTTTTTCCCGAGCTCGTGTTGTGAGTCTTTGCGCGCCTGTAGGAATTGAATCTTGAAATGCACTGACAACAACGATCTACGTACCAGATGCAAGTAAGTGCGGAGGTAAAAAGACTGCTACGTTAACATTTTGTCTATTTAACCGTTTCTTGGCAAAGAATTGGTAATAGCTGATAAAACGAGTATAGGGTGATTTTGGTAGTTTCTGAGAGAAGCAGCCCTCTTAAATGTATAAATTCATTCTTGCTCCCGGGTAGAGCACGCAATCCCCCACATCCCGTGGCTTAGAACGTGGCTTCGACGATAAGCCTTATCGGTATCCCAACTATCTTATCAACCATGATACAAGGAGCAGTGGAATAGACTTTGACCTGGCATAAATGGGCCGATTATGAAGCTGTGTTGACGTCCAAATCAAGAATGATTGACGTTTTTTCCGGCCCGTTGGACCGTTTCCCAAACCTGTTCCTGAAGCTGCTCTCGCTTCCCCACACTCTGAACTTGTCCCATTCCAGAACGGAGTCTAGCCTCCGTTTGGTAGACCTCGTGATAGGCCGACTAGGGAGTTCAACACCAAGTCTGGCAGGTGTCCCATATATAAGCCAGGGGGGCTTGTTTTCCATGGCATCAATCCCGCGGGAAAGTTACCATGAACGAGCTTGAACGAGCAGGTTAGTTTATCCAGAGCTCCGGATGCAACCCCCGTTTCCACCAAGGATTGCCGAGCTCGGTGGAGAACGCGACCCAAGAACCAGGGTGATGACAAATGGTTCACTAACCTGCGTTTGTTTCAGAGTGACAGTAGCAGGGGTTCATCTCACTTCGGTGTCTTTCGGTTCCAGCGTAGATAACTGAGCTATGGCCAAGATGGTGGGAAATCCGTCGGCTCATGTTTAAAAAGCTCCGTTAGTCTGCAAGAAAGTGAGCCTTGCACTTGAGAAAAGGACCGACTATGTTCTCTGAATGTACGACAGCTTCATCGTAACTGGCCATTGTTGTGAGTTGAGATGAATGAGCTCCAGATTGAGGCCTTGATATGTTCACGGAGAAACTTCCGTGGTTCAATTCGGTATAGCATGTGAGTAAATTCTCCATTGGGAGATGAGTATAAAGGAAGGCATAAGATGTCGTGAATATAGTCCTTCATCAGATATCCAAATCAATAGCAACTCATTGTCTATCTTCTATAAACAACCACTCTATCTTATAACAAACTCACAATGAAGGGCTCTCTTGTCTTCCTCGCCGGGCTTTTCGCCCCCTTCGCTCTCGCCCAGTCTCTCTGCGATCAGTACTCCTACTATGCCAACGGCGGCTACGAGTTCAACAACAACCGCTGGGGTCAGAGTTCCGGCTCTGGTTCTCAGTGCACTTACATCGACTGGTCCAACAGCAACGGCGCCGGATGGCACGTTGACTGGACCTGGTCCGGCGGCCAGGACAACGTCAAGGCGTACCCCAACTCTGCTCTCCAGATTGGCACCAAGCGCATCGTCAGCTCCATCAGCAACATGCAGTCTGCTGCTGCTTGGTCCTACAGCGGCACCAACGTTCGCGCCAACGTTGCCTACGATCTCTTCACGGCTGCTGACCCCAACCATGTTACCTACAGTGGTGACTATGAGCTTATGATCTGGTGAGTGCCCCTGACTAACATCGGATATTGCAGAGGGACTAATATGCCTCGGGATAGGCTCGCCCGATATGGTAACGTCCAGCCTATTGGATCTAAGCAGACCACCGTCACCATTGAGGGTCGCAGCTGGGAGCTCTGGGTGGGCATGAACGGAAGCATGAAGGTCTTCAGCTTCGTCGCCGCCAACCCTGTCAACAGCTTCAACTCCGATGTCAAGCAATTCTTCAACTACCTTGCCAACAGCCAGAACTACCCCGCCAGCAAGCAGTATCTCCTCAGTATGTACCTCTGTACTCTACGTGAATCCATTGACTAACACTGCAACTACAGCCTTCCAATTCGGTACCGAGCCTTTCACGTAAGTTAACCTTTCTTCTTCTTGACAGTCACATACTAACTAGTCAATAGTGGAAGCAATGCTAAGCTCACCGTCACCAACTTTAATGCCCACGTCAACTAAATTGCGGGATCAATCAACTCTCGGGTGAAATAAATAAGGGCATCTACACTTCTATGTTATATATTTTATTCTTACATATCACACTCAATAGCAGGCTATCGTAACTTCTTTGAACTGTTCACTGTGCTTGTATTTGCACACCTGACACTATCAACAATCCAAGTAAACCGCTTGAGGACTGTCAGCACATCTCAATGATTCATAAGGCCTTGGATTCTAGTGAACTTACCGTTGGCGTACAGAGAATATGAATCAGCGTTGTAAAGACAAGACAGAGGATCCAAAGCAGTAGAGTTCTCATAGCCATAAGCATAATCCTGAGTTGAAACCTCCTGCTCATACACGGCTCTAGCATGCGTCATCTCGTGGATCGTCGTGGTGGCGTGGTCCTGCTTATGACACTTTTGTGGTAGAGGGGGCAGCGTATCGTAGAATAGCGGACACATGGTGACATAGCCGTTGACCCAGGTCGTGTAAGCGATCAAAGGACCGTCGCTCTCACAGTATCCAATCTCATCTCTGCAAAAGACTCGTGTATTGCCACTGTCTGAAGTGGAACACTCTTCCGCGACGGCGAGAAGCCGGCCGGTCACGTGCTCACGAGCCACGGTCTCGTTTGACTTAAAGTACTCGACGAACCTCGCGGAGTGAACGTCAGATGCGTCTTTAGCTGCGGCCCGGGCAAGAGTTTCGCAGTTCTTTACACCGTTGGCAGTGATATCGAGCTTCTCAGTAGTGCAAGAGTCCCCCTGGAGAATGGTGCGCTTCGATGCTTTTTGCTTTGCCTCAGCTGATGAAGCTTTGGTGATCCTCATCGACAGAGCCTCGGACTTAAAGGAAACGGGAATTGGTTTGCTAGATTCCTTTGAAGCAGCGGGAATACTACCCTCAGCATACACAGAGTATGTACCAGCCTTCAAATCGTACATGGTAGATAAGTCGATAGTTCGAAAGATAGAAGACCCGATTTTGAGCGTCTCAAAATGATTGGACTTGAGTCCATCGTAGTAGAGGCTCAGCTCAATGCCCATAAAAGATACCTCATTTCCTGCCTCATGTTAGCAACTTGGCCCTTGGGCTCGGAGGACAACGTGCCGCTCTCATCCTTCAGAGATAGTTTCTTCACAGGTCTATCATCAAGAATTGTACCAATTTTGAGGAGACTCAGATCAGTAGGCCCGCCGTTCTTAATAGAGACATTGACCTGCGTCGATTGCCCAAGTACGGGCTCCAGAAAGACGGTCAAAGCGTTGTTGTTTCGTGCATGCCTGTAGTAAGGCAAATGCGCCTGCACACCAGATGCAAGATAGGCTACAAAGGCCAATGTTGGACAGAAGCGCATCTTGAAATGGGTAATGAAGAGAGGGATGATTGTGTAAATTTTGAACAGCTGATGATACTTTAATATGTCAAAGGAAGATGGTACGCTCGAGCCCCTTATACGGGGGATTTTCCCAGAACAGAAATGAACTCCCCTGCCAAGAGTCGTGATACGAGATTGAACCCTGTCAGTATGGTTGCATTCTGAGCACGAGTCATGCAGTGTGCCTATTAATATTCTAGATAAACAAACCAAACACTTAACTACATGTAGACATATTTAAAGCAGAAGTATCTTTATGCGTTTCATTTTTATAATAATATATATTTAAGGCTTAAGGGAAACTACAGTCTTTATGTAATCTCTTGCTTCTTTGGCCTTATTATCACTTTTTAGTAATATATATAAACAGCAATTTTTATGCCATTCTCTATATTTAAAAACACATAACTAGAAGACACTCTTCATTACTGCTCACACTATATATCTGCTACATTCCAGAGTCTGAAATAAGCGCACTGCAGACCATTTCCTCTTTATTTAACTATTTCCTTATATGCCCTATTATTACCATTTTAAGCACTACTTCAATTGATAAAAGTCGAGGGAACAAGTTTAATATATATTTATAGGTATAAACTACACTGAGCAATAATCCCCAGGGGGTAAAAGATATAGAGGCCTTTTGCTATTTATTGTAGCTAAACTAACTACATTATTGAGAGGAAAAAATAGTAGCTATAGGTGGCTGAAGAAACTTAAAGATGAAAACAAACTGAGAAATCACTAATACCAACTAATGGTACTCAGACACCCTCGTAGCCCTGCCATCTTAACCCAAGCTCTCCCTATGCATCTTCGAGAGAGCAGTAGTGCTGAGCCATCGTCGGAACCACTTTCCAAAAATCAGGAAGATAAAAACGAAGAGATTGTTAATAGTTAGCACGCCACAAAAGATACCTGCAAAGACATTAATGTAGCCATTGGCCTGGACCCAGTCAATCACTTTATAACCAAATGCAAAAGAGATAGACTGTTTGCCAATATTCATCGCAATCAACATCTCAGGCATCTTGGACTCATAAGAGTCCATAGCATATGCAAGCGTGTAAGTGAGATAGAAGAAAGCTCCTATACAAGTCATTTATGTTAGTACCTACACCCGTAATGCCATTTCATAACACATACCGAACTGGAACAACCCCACAGCAAAGACAAGTCCGAACCAATGCAACTGTTTCTCTGCACTGTATCCATACAAGATAAGTGCTGCCGGGGAGACAAAAAAGACAACGACTAGACACCAAAGGCGGTACTCGGCTTCGTGAATATTATTATTCTTACGAGCAAGCCAAGCCGAGACTCGATCCGGGACGGTGCTAAAGGGTCCTGCTGCTACTAAATAGCCAATAAATGCTGATATTGCCACGAGGCCGGTATTCTCCTGGTTTCATATTTAGTATCAACCCGTCATCGAAAGCGCAGAAGGAAAACAGAGTTCACTAAAGGGTATCCTACAATTGGCCAAGAGTATGGAGGAGCTGCAACAATGTTTGGGAAAGTAGAAGTGAAGGCGAGGCCAGCAAGCCCAATAACCATCCCTATACAAAGTCAGCCATAAGGTCTTTCTTTCTAAAGAAAGTACCTACCGTAAGTAGAGCAGACCCAAAACACCTGGGGTACAATGAGGTAAGTAAAGGATCGGATCTAGAAGTCTTCCGTTAGTGCTTAGTCTATGGGATTCCTTGTTGGATGATTCTTACCATCATCATGAAGACTGGGGTACTGGGATCCGTCTTTCCGAAGATTTTGCACTGCTCCAGGTAGGTCTTCCTTCGTGGAACTGCTATAGATTCCTCAAGTCTAGATTCCATGCATTCTGAAGTTGCTTGGGGTTCGTCTTTTGTGGAATCGGCGTCAATTGGCTGTTGACTGGAGGGTGAAGGAGGTTGGCGTTCCTCGAGGTACATTGTCTCCTCGAAAAAGGCGAGAGTGGCGAGGAAGAGGACGCATCCGATGGCAAATTCTATCCAGAAGAATAGATTATACGACAATCCACTGGACAACATATAACTAGCAGCAGTGGCACTTAGAGTTCCAGTTACAAGTGCAACTATTGACTCAATATGTTAGTGGTGGCGGCTTTGGAGATGAAGCCAAATGGCTCAAAGAAATAGCAACACTGACAGGTATACCAGCCCAGGGCCTTTCCTCGTTCGTGAAAAAAGAAGACATCAGCGACAGCTTGAGCTGGTAATGCTTCGCAAACTGATGAGCCGAAACCGTGAACCATTCGGAAGCCCATCAGGACATCGTATGATTTGGATAGAGCACAGCCTAGCAAGCCAATGCAGAACTATTTCATGTGTCGGTATATTGCTTTCATCGCTGGGAGGCTCAGAACTCACGATAAGGATCGAGATTAGCATTGTAGGTCTGCGGCCTATTTTCTGATACATGGGGACGAAAACAAGAGAGCCTGCTCAGCAAAAGACCAAAGCCCTGACATTAGCAGTATTCCCAATTTTAGTGGAGTTTTCTTACCCAAGCCGAAGAGGAGATTTGGGTTATTCACCAGCTGCGATGTCTCACTTGGTGTTTTACCAAATCGCTGAGCGAGGAAGTTGACATAGACACTTGGGCCGAACAATGCACCGTTGGCTAGGAAGGAATACGCGGAAACGAGGAACAGGATCGAGTATTTCTTTCTTTGGGTCCACTAATAGAACGAGGTTATTACTCTAGTCGAGCATAGTCGCTGTAACAAAGACAAGGGTTGGTACGTACGTTGAGTGGATCATTTGGATCGGCGGAGGGAGTTGGTGTTAAAGAAAGACCATATGCAGTTCTACTGTCGTCTACACATCAGTTGGCTTTAGATACAGTATAATGGGATCTGCAAATTGCTTCATACCTGTAACCTTCATATCAATGGTGCCAGGCACCTTTGGCTCTTCGACGCCACTGGGGTGTATTAGAGCCGGACATTGCTCCCAGAACGTGATCTGGACATAGGCATTGGACATACCTCGAGGTCTCATGCTGTTGATGCATCTTATTGTATCTGGGGTTCACTACAAACCTAAATGGCAGCAAGGCTTAATGTAGGAGATGAGTTGGAATGAAGTGATAATTCCCTTTTACCCAGATTCATATTCATGAAGCTGCTCCTATATAGGTAAAGAGATGTAGGCCTCTTGGGTGTATCATGCTCCTCCGCCACAATGGGGAGACGGGCCAATGAGGCCCTAGGCCTCCCAATAGCTAGTGTCAATTCAGAAGTCTGGGGAAATAAAGTTTGAGTAGCTAATGTGGGATGATTGAACCTTCTCCACGATATTGGGACGATTGAGCTTTGACCAAGGCTATCCGGGTCAGTAGGGGCCTAATGCCGAGGGTTGTAGAGGGGCGATGCCTGACACGGTATAGCTCCCGAGGTAGATTTCCCTTCTGAGACATCAATAATCGGTATCAGGGATGCCTGGAGAGTTGATACCTACGACGATCAATCGGAAATCGGAAATCAGAAGAGAATGCGGGGAGGGAATGCGGGGAGAGGACTTAAGTGGCTGCGTCTAGTAATAGTTGCTGTTGCATCGCAGTTCATTCGAGCGATAAGTTATATAGTTGTGGCACTGCGTTGAACAGGACGTGTTCCAGAGTATAGACTATACAATACATTGGTACTTTAATCATTCTCTGGCATTTCTGATATTAATATAATTACAAGGCACTATGAGTCATGTGTCCTCTTCCTGTTCGATTTAAGACGCCTTAAGTAGGCCTGCCAATACACGTGCTGGTAGCTATACAGTATCAGGTCAAAGGTCCTGACAGAAGATTTAGTAACTGACACGCTTAGATCAAGCAAGTGATCAGGGTGCGAAAATATAGACTTGCCCCTTTGAGATATTGATTAAACAGAGGTGTCCTTAGTCTGTCCTGTTAAGCGGCACTTGCTGAGATTCCGGAAGACGGCTCAAATTTGGGCCTGAGGGTTTCCGAGATACCGGATGTTCTTCCAGACAGATGCTCCATTGTGTTAATTCCACGTGGGCAAAGCCGAGCCAATAACGAGTTTTGATTAGCATTCTGCAGAAAACTGAAAGCATGTTCCATACATGCGTCAGTCTTATACATGAAATGTAGACGGTAGTGGGGACTTGGTCGGCATATCAATACGGCACTTGTACAGCTTGACTTGAAAAGCACTGACCATAGTCCCTATGTGTTTCGATTATAAATGGATCACCGTCGTCAAACATCCAGTTTCTCCATTTCTGACAGACCTCTCCAATCACTTTAACATATCTCTTCAACCTCTTCAGCATATCAAATATGGCGCAAGATACTCAAACAATCGACGGAGATACCTTTTTCGGGCTGCCGTCGGCATGGAGACAGTCCTTTGAGTTTTCCCAGCATGGCGTGCCAGGCCGGTTCGAGGGTGAAATAACTGATCTGGTGGTCCTTGGAGACATACCGAAGGAGATTAATGGCACCTTCTGCCGTATAATGGTTGATCCCCTATATCCCCTAATGCTTAATAATCCCGCTATTGAGGGCGATGGTAATATCTGTGCGCTGCATATTAAAAATGGCCGTATTAATATAAAGATTAAATAAGTCGAAACAGAGCGCCTTAAATTAGAAAGGCAGGCCAAGAAAAGACTGTTTGGCCTCTACCGGAATTTCTTTATGCACCATCCCTGCATACGCACAGCTATTAACTCTACAGCAAACATAAATAGGATCTACTGGGCTGGACGACTTCTTGCTCTTAAAGAAGTCGCTTAACTATATGAGATACACCCTAATACACTTTATACTCTCGGATTTGACCCTTTCGCCTTTCCAGGGAAAACCTTTTCTGCTTACACAAAGCTTGATCCATTCACTAATAAGCTGGTCTGCTTCGGTAATAAAGCAAAGGGCTTGGCTACAATAGATATTATAATCTACACACTTGATTAAAGTGGAAAGATCAGAGACAAGCAGTGGATTTAATCGCCTTGGTGCGCGTTTATCCATGACTGCGCCATGATAGCCAATTACATTATTCTCGTCCCGCGGCCATTTGAGGCCCATTTGGACAGAATTGAGTCTGGCGGTCCACATTGGCTGTTTAGCTACGATCGTCCTGCTACGTTCATTGTCGTACCAAGGAGGCCTGACGCTCTGCCATCGGGCTGGAGCAAGGGCGAGTCACGGGTCTATCACTGGAAAAACTCTACTGCCATTCACACCGCTGGGTCTTGGGAAGACGAGGATGGGAAGCTTTACTTTGAGAGCTCTCGAGTTCTCTATAATATCCTTCCCTGGTTTGAACCCCCAGGGGAGCCTGACGTGAGAGATCTGAAAGCCGACTATGTTCGCTGGGAGATCGATGTCAATCAACCGAGCGGGACCAAAGTGAAAGATCCGGAAGTCATCCTCGATCTCCCAAGTGAGTTTGCTTGTATGGATGAAAAGTTTCTTACGCGTCCGTACGACCGCATATTCGCACCCGTGTTGCTACCCTATCGACCAAATACTGCACCGCCAGTTGTGCCGCTATGCCTGAATGGCTATGTTATGCTTGAGAAAGAGAGTAACCGCTGTACCTTTTTCGATCCAGGGTCTCATGCTGTAGCTGAAGAACCAATCTTTATACCTCGTTCTAAGGGTGCTACCGAGGGAGATGGGTGGGTATTGGCCATGGTTCAGAGAACGGATGTCAACCGTAGTGAACCTGATTGTGTTGGATACTAGACACTTTGAGAAGCCCGTTGCTGTTATTCAATTGCCATTCCGGACTAAGAACCAGATTCATGGTAACTGGGTAGACAATAAAGAGCGTCATGGGGATGTGCTACCATTAGTTGGATAGAATATATATATTGCAAGATATGATGAGATGTTGTTGTAAAGTAGTTGCCCAACAAAAAGTATTAGGCTTTTCCACTCCACAGGTATGTTATATTTAAGTTGAATAATATCGGCTTACGTGGCTTGCGGAAGTAACAATCTTCCGTGCCGTTTAGTCCTAGGAGGATGTTGGGCATAAATCAGGCTGTATGGCACAATGAAGACTAAGCTCCAATACAAACTATACTAATAAACATCAGGCTGTAACAAAGGTTGAAACTGATCAATTATCATCAGCCTATTGCATAAGTCACATTAAGAACAAACACCATTCAAAATTAACCCGAACGCAGATCTCAAAAATGGCTTGCTTGAATACCTGTCAGCAGGCCATTGGCGACAAGCTGACTGAATACCGACCTCTCAGAACACAGAGATACGCCACTGTAAATGTGCTTATAATTACATGGAAGGACCATGACTTTGGAGTCGACTTTGACAGGGAAGTTGCGGAAGTCAAGGACATGTTTAGCCAGACTTTCAACTATGCCATTTGGCCTTTCAGAATACCATCTCAGGATCCCGAACTTTCCCTCAATGTATGTGTCGCTCAGTTCATCAAGAACTTTGGTGGAGCAGACGACCTCCTCATCATCTTCTATAGTGGACACGGCGGAGGAGAGAGTGGCACAGAGGCAAGAAGTCCTTGTACTTGGGCAGCGTAGGTAATCGGCCGCACCTAACAGACACTAGCTGACCGTGTATCTACTGCAGAAAGATATGCGGCGGTCCAACGCTCGATTGGTCCAACATCCAGCCCCAACTGTTTCTCTCTCTGGGTGATGTGGCCATTATTCTCGACTGTTGCTATGCGGGACAAGCTGTACGACCTCACACCTCTCGTAAGATCGAGTTCTTGGCCGCCACCGACAAGGACAACTGGGTACCAACGGGATTGAAGAAATGGCCGTCTTTCACCAAAGTTCTCTTGCGAGAGATGAAGTTTGCAATGTCGAGCGAAGGGCATGTAACACTTGCCGCCCTCCAGAGTCGCATGGTAATCGCGGAAGCTGGTTTGAAGCGACAACCGTTCCTAGTCTCTCTGGCTGGAGCTGCGTCAGAGGGCCCAATCAGGTTGACAAGACTGACCACTGGGGACAAGGCCTCAGAGTCTCTCCCTCAAACTATCTCGCAATCTATCAACTCCATGTATCTTCGGCTATGTCTCTTCGATCCTCTAGACAGAGCAATGCTACCAAGCCTGCTTCGCTGGCTTACCCGGGACTCACCAGCATCCGTCGAAGATATACAGCTTATTGACCGGGTTGCCTCGTAGGCACAAGACATAAGTAAGATGGGAACATATGTCTGTGAAGCGGCGTATGAACAGGAGAGAACCGAAGCCTCACCATTCCTCTCCCAAGAAGGGCGGACTGAAGCTCAGAGGCTACTCGATGAGCTCAAGCTTGCTGTTTTCGCCTCAGGTGACGCACTTTCAGTAAGGTCTAGAACATCTCATGCTGTTCTAGAAGGACTCAGGACAGCCTCTTCCAAACTAGTAGACTTTCTGGGAGATTCACTTGCGGCAATGGACAGGTGCACGCTGAGTAGTTTGGATGACAGCGATTCTACTGCTCTTGAAGACATCCGGAGCAAAATTGCCATGCGCTTAACTCTACTTGACGACGAAAAGGTGCTGGGGAACTCAACTCGGGTGAGCTTTAGCGACACAGCAAGCCTAAACCAGCGGATAAGACATGGTACACAGGCCGGCCGTGACGTGCTGGTTGAGTATATCTACTATCTTGACGAAGACCCCGAGGCCTGCAGTCGTATGTCATATCAAATCAGGCGCATTATAGCGCTTCTTGCTGAATCCAAAAGCCCGGCATTCGGCTGCTTCGATATCTCCGGCTTCACTCACGAGACGCTCTGCGGACCTCGGTTTGGACTCGTTCATCTTATCGATGAGAGGTTCGGGGGCCGAAGGTGCATATCTCTTGCAGAGTTGATTGGGCAGGCCAAATACGTTCCTTTGAATCATCGAATACGGCTGGCTCAAATCATCTGCGAAGCTATCCTACATCTTCACTCGATTGGGTGGTATCACAAGAACATTAAGAATGAGAACATCATTCTATTTGATGCACCAGAGAGTGATAGAGGCAATTCCTTGGCAGATAGTTGGGACTTTGAGAACCCGTTCCTGATCGGGTTTGACTGCTCTCGTCCGGCAGATGCAGAAACAAGAAACACAGTAGATTTCACGACGCAAAACAATATTTATAGGCACCCGGAGCGATGGGGGAGATCGGCACGCTTCGAAAAACATCACGACATATATGCACTGGTAAGTACATTAATATTCCTAAATATTACACTGTCTAATTTGCTTGATGGGGCAGGGAATCCTCCTAATAGAGATAGGGGCTTGGCTAAAGATCCCTACACTGGACACGAAGCGGAACGACTTTGCGCATATTGGCGACCCCGAGATGCTTCGCAGCTTATTTCTCAAAGTTGCATCTTCCAAACTCGCGCATGCAGCAGGCACGCGGTATGCCGAAACAGTTAAAGTCTGTATAGAGAATAGACCATGGAAGACACTCGAAGATTGGGAATCACAAAAGGTGGTGCGAGAGAGGGTTCTTTGTCCACTCAGGGAATGTGCTGCTGCAAGTGGTTAAAATAGCAAATATGCCAAAATTATATCCTTAGAGTTTCAATATCCTTCCAGGCCGCCATGCTAGTCTATCAGGGACACCATTTGCAGAAATCATGCCATGCACGCCGAGTTAAAGGATTGTCTCTTCTAGCGAGATTCTGCTAGGAATGCACCGAGGAGTGTGGCGTATCTGGCCAGAAAGTATCATGTTAGTGAGGACTTGTTTCCACAGAAATGTGAGAGCGCTAATCTATTAGACTTACGTTATCAGAGCAACTAGAAAGTTGTGTTTCGTCAAGTCGACAGCAGCGAAGAGCATGATGGATGTCCCGAAAATGAAGAAGGCGAAAACTATAGATCTGGGGAGACTTCCCGAGGAAGCTTGGAGGATAATTGTAGGAAGAACCAACCATAGAGGGACAAATAGAGCCACAAAAGCTTTGATGACGCGATCAAGAAGAACAGTGGAGAATAGGAAGATGTTGGGGTCCTGAGTCTTGGTCTACACGTATTATCAGTCCATGATGTTGATTTCTAAGGAGACCGAGGTCCCATAGGCCAGCACTTCTTACCTCACTAGTAGAGAACTGCTGCAGTATTAGCACTTCTCTCTCGCTTAAGCAGTCCATGGGTAAACCTACCAGTCTTCTAACACTGGGAAAGGTCCTCAACGCCAGTTCCGCAAGCGACTCCAGCCCCGATCGGTCGCTTCTCTGGGCTACTCCAAGAGCCACATAGTCTGTGTCGTTGGACATGTTGAGAAAGCATCCACTCTCGGACCGAACCAGGGGCTTATTCCCCAAAACCCAGTTCTCTACATTCTGCCGTTGTGCTCTCTGCGGTTCGGGGAGCTGAAGCATGCTATTGTAGTCTTGGATGGCTTTGTCTGAGGGCTGTTAGTCTTCAAGCATGGCCGGAGGTTGGTTGTATACCGACCATAGACCTCTAGTGCTGAGCGGATCCGCTGCAGGATGTCGCGACGGGTAATGTTGGCATCCTGCCTACGACTGCAGAGTCCCAGCTGTACCCTGTCAACGTCATCACAGGCTTTCAGCCGATCTTCAAGCTCTGACAATTGATCCTGAAGGTCCAGAATACTTCTCATGTGCAAGAAGTCATATCTTTTAAGAATCGAAAAGTTTTTGTCTAACGTCAAGAATCTGGCCAGGCGAGGGTAACCCTGGCGATAATCCTCTACTGTTGGCCATGTCAGCATTTGCCCCGAAGGAGAAAAGACTCAGCAGTACGAGACGAAGAGCCACTATCTTCGCTGATAAGATAACAAGTAGCACTTAAATAAGATTGAATGATACAGTGGGCACAGCGTACTTACACATGGTACTGCTCATCATTTAATACGAAGGTTGAATATACCGGACTCAGAGCTCTGGGAAGTGGTGATATGTACTGCTAATTTCAAACGTACTGATGCCTACCATGCGTAAAAACACAGAATCGAGAGTCAGCTTGGGTAGAGGGCCTCAGACTTGCAAGCCACGGGTTGGAGCCTGGTCACAGTACAGCCCCCAGGCCTTGTGCAACCACACCATCAACGCCACCGTTGCCTTGTTTCAGACAATAGGCTACCATTGGTGTTCAGTGCTGCACTCTGTCGCCCTGCTCTTTATCTCTGCGCCAAGGAGCGGGGTTACTGAGGGATTTTCTCGTTTGAGCTGGCTGTTGTGTTGCAACTAATATTTTGTATAAAGGACTCTTGATGCGATGGTGAAAGCATATGGGAACAGCAGTCCGTACCTCTGGCTCTTATACAAGAATAGCTGATGGTGATAGTCTCCAAAGGATTACCATGACCGAAAACGCAGACAACACAGCCCAGCCCGAAGCAGGCGGAGCGGCAGGCCTCGCCACAGCCCCAATTCAAAACACACCCAGCAAATCAGAGGAGGAGTCAGATGTGCAACAAGTCCTGGATGAAGACGGAGATGACGACAGAAAAGCTCATGTGGCTCGTTACAATAACAATATCCCTGTAAGCACTACGTATTACTAGTTACCTACCAAACGCTCACTTTTGCCCAAGTTTCCTTTCGAAATTGGAGAGACTGTCTGGATCATCCAGCCAGGCTACCGCGCACCACGAGGGGAATTCCGCATTACAAAGGTCCATCCGGATGACCTATTTGAGCTTGTTGATTGTGCAACCAACATTGCGCACCCAGATTTGGTGGAGGGCCAGTATTTGAGGCGTGATATTTAAGTAGCGAATAAGAAGTCTAGATAATTGGTAAATCAAGCAGGATGGTGGGTGGCTTGGATGTTGAACGGCCCATGCACGTTGGTCCAACAAGCCACATGTCGTGGATAACTAGATAAGGATCGCTTATGGCCGTGTCTCGGCCCAAGGTCCTGCAACTATTTCTGGTCCCCTCTGTAATACCGCACAATGGCCCTCTCTTTCCGCACCTCTCTCACTTCTGATCTCCCAAGTCATGAACAGTCAATCAACCAACCAAGCATATCTTCGACGGCACTGGACTTTGTCTATGCTCTGTCGACAGTTGATTTTGAACTCTATTCTTCTGCGCAACTTCATTTCGATAAAAATACTACCATGGTTGCTGGACGAGGTGGTTATGCCACTGTCGAGATTGGTGGCACCATCTCGGATTCGAAGAAACTTGTGGCGGTAAAACGGAGTCTGATGCAATGGGAGACTCATGAACCAACTCTCCCTCAAGATTCGAAAAGGATCCTGGGGAAAGGTTTTGAGCAGAGTGTTCGAGAGTTGCGCATCCTTGGACACAAGAAAGCCAGGAGCCATGACAATATAGTGAGCCTCGAGGGTGTTTGCCTGGACGAAATCAACGGGGTGCCCTCGCTAGCCCTTGTCATAGAGTATTCACATCTCGGCACTCTACGTGAATTCCTTATCCAGAAAAACCATGCTCTCTCTCTCGATGAGCTGTTCAACCTTGCGTTGCAAGGTGGCCGTGGCTTGGATGCTCTTCATACCCTGCTGGTATGCCATGCTGATGTCAAGATCGATAATGCACTTGTATTCGAGTCTCCAACGGAAACTGACGGCAAGAAATGCTGGGTGGTAAAAATCTCGGACTTTGGACAATCTATTATTGCACCTCATGACGATCCTGATGGTAGAGTGCCTTGTCGACCAGGGACACGTCTGCGAGAGGCTCCCGAAATCAGGCGAGGCCAGGCGTTTCAAGACCCTGGCTATAATATCCAGGCTGCCTTGAAGACAGATGTCTTCTCATTTGGCCTTTTTGTATGGGAAGTGATGAAGAATGGCCAAGGATACTTTGATCCAGCGTGGGCAGGGTTAAATGGAAGGCAATACAACGCCGATATCATGGAGGACTTTCTTAACAATTTGCCAAACGATGCCCTTTTGACTTATGGAATTGAGTTTGCGAAGAGCTTGGGCCAACAGCAACACCTTTCCCAGAGGCTTCTGCGAGTATTTGAGGGTTCATTGAGGGACCAGCCGCAAACAAGGAAGACAATGAGCGAACTAGTGGAATCGTTTGAGCTCCCAAGTGACAAGTAAGTGACCGCATTTCCATTCCTCGACACACGATGCCGCATCACGACGATGTCCTGACACGTGCAGATCTGAGGAGGAGAAAGTAAATCCAACTTCATTTTTAGGTCTTGGGGCTATGATCGCCCAACTGGGCTTTGATGTCGATGACGAGTCTTCAATAGGTACATGGGGAACCAGCAAGTCGTTTTACGATGTAAGTGATGCAATTCTTGAGGAGAGGCATGAAGCGACCGTGACTAAGATACTCAAATCAGTTGAGTGATCAGGGAGACTTTTCTGGATCCCACGAAATTATATCCGACATACCCATGTTGCTACAGCGGAAAATTCTTGCCGAGCTCAAAGGCATGGCAACATCTGATAGCACCGATACTCATTCATCGGGCCACTCCGCCATGACCGTCGCTGAGTGCTATACACTTGGCTTTGGAGGGTCACATGACATTGCAGAGGTTATCCAGTGGCTTGGAACAGCAGCTTCGAAGGGCTTCAAGAAGGCAGGGCTTGTATACCACCGAGTCTGCGACGCTGTCAGCATTCCACCGCAAGACTTGAGCGGCCTCAATGAAGGGAGGGCCCTAGAGACGGCTCTGGAAAGGGTCTCCACTGAGAAGTACTTGTCTGAAAGAATCCTTCACCACAGTCGAACCGTTCTCGAAGATGCGCGACAAAGGATCCTTGGCCATGAGGCGAACTCGCTCCTTACAATGGCAGAGGGCGTCTTTCTCTCCACCTTTAGCGAGGCTAAAATAGACACTTTACTTCCACTCCATGTAGCGTCTTGGCTTGGGGAGGAGGCGCTTGTGGCGAAGTTACTGAAAAGCACTCCACCAGACGCCCAGTCAGTACTGGGGTTCAACGCCGCACACTTCGCATGTCTAGGAGGCCATATTTCGATTCTCAAGCTCCTGAGCAAGCACGATGTACCTCTCTCAGTGGCCAGTCTCCAGTTAATAACGCCTCTACACTTGGCAATCTTCTTCCAGCCTCGTGACCTCGCCTCGGCTGTCAATCTTCTCCTTGAGCATGGTTGCTCGCTTGAAGCACGCACACAAACGGTCAAATGGGACGCGCATGATCTTTCAATTTATGGCACGCCGATGCAATGGGCGCTACAGACACGCAATAGAGCCCTTGCCCACATTCTACTGCCACTCCAAGCGCAACCACCTAGTTCTGAGTGGCTGACCAACGTCGTCCAGGACTTTTACTGGGAACTGTTGGAGGATCTTCTGCCTTATTTCCAGGGCCCAATGGATGATACGGTTGCATTGCAACCCGCAGCAAGGCCATTTATTCGGCGGATTGCTCACGGTCGAGACTACAGCCAAGCCATCGAAAAGACTGTCCGGCTATGTCGTGATAACGGTATTTTGGGTTTCACCGCTGACGGTGCATCTCAGCTTCAGCTCTTAATGCCTTCCACGCGGACATTGACTGACTTTTTGATGTTTAATCTTGCTTTGGATGCATGCTCGGCAGACTACATACGATACACAGGGCCGAATCTTTATAGTTCCCCTTTAATCGTCATTGCATTCGATATGACCGACCACCAGGAGGCTCTTCGCGACACTCTGTCCAGGCTGACGAAATGTTATACACTTGATGAGTTGGAAGATGGTCGCCTGACCGGGGGCCACAATCTTCTACTGACGGCCGTGAGTCATGACAATGTGACGGCGGCACGTGTCTTACTCGAGAGAGGAGTCGACGTCAACAAGTCATACAGGCTGTCCGGTGTTGTCATCTTGAATCCGGTCACACTGTGCGTTCGTAGGAGACCCTTGCCTGAGATGCTGTCGCTATTGGTCGAATATGGTGCCGACCTTTTGGCCAAATGCTCCATGTCGGGGCTAACACCACTACAACTGCTCCTTGCCGGTCCAGTTCAAGTAAGCGATGTTCTGGATATCTTAACCAATCATTCCCAACCTGATCAGGTATATATTGAGGCTTTGTTTAGGAGCTTCGCTACATTCTGTTCCGGGAGCATTTTACGTGGCTTGGCGACATCGCCTGACAGCCAGGAGATGAAGAAACCTCAGTTGCGCACACACTTTTTGGAGCAGTTCCGTCGACTACTGATGGTCCCTAAATTCGCTCGCTTCGTCGATGAACCCCATCATCCAGATGGCTCTACAATGATCCAACAGGCAGCAAGCATCGTGCATTATCCCGCCGTTCGGCTGCTGCTCGACGCAGGGGCCGATGCAAGCAGACCATTCAGGCGTGGCAACAATTCGATCCTGCCACTTCAACTCGCAGTGGTGAAAGGCAGGCAATTTCAGATTATGAAAACGCTCAGACGCGACCCCATACAAGGAATTGAATACATGAGTATGGATCTGGTAATGGAGGTCGCAACGGAGCTTCTGCAGTGGCATCTGGCACGCAGCGACGGCCTATTTGACGGCATCAGCGAACTCCATATTGCATACTGTATGAGGTATCCAGAGGGAATTAAAAAGTATGTAGAGGCAGGTCATAGTCTGGAAGCAAAGGGACATTGGCCCGGGATTGAGAAGGCGATGACGCCGAGAGAGCTCTCTCGTGACCCATTTTGGAACCATGAGGCGGGTTATGGCATTCACCTTTTCCCATTTGTCAAAGAAGAAGGGCTTGGGCAGGAGTACAGAGATCTATTAGCGACAATACCGTAGGAAGAAGGACCGCCAGAGAATACCTTACCAGTATATACAGAGGACCTAAAGCACTAAAGCAGGTTTCAGCTTCCAGCTTTCACACCTACCGCATTGTCTATATAGCTACAATGTAAAATTTGTCTAGTTTCGTATTCCGGGTTAGCCAGATGCAGAGAATTATATACCTGCTGCCGGTTACTTGTAATTCCTTGTACTGCTAATAAAAAAAGCCTAAGGGCTCCTCGACTTTATTCTTCCTTTGCCTTCATCATCCTTTCAGTGTATTCCTTACCAGCCTTCAACCACCATGCGCCAATTAGGATTGCCAGGCCACCGACGACGACGCAGGTGTAGTTCATATTTGCAACCTCGACTGGCATAACGTAAGGGAAGGAGAAGAAGATGATGGCAAACGTTAACCAGCAAACTGTCACGGTGTTGACAATGGGACCTATGGTTGGACCCATGTGGAACACACCCTTGTGCATGTTCTTCCTGCCGGTCAGCAGGTTGGTGAGAATTGGGAACATGTAGGAAATATTGTTGATAGTGACGGCCGTGCCGAGCAGAGAGTTGAATGCGGTCGATGAGCCAAGATACAAACAACCCAGAGCAGCAATGACTGCCGTGACTGCAAGCTGTGAATTGAAAGGGATCTTGAGTCTTGGGTGGACCTTGGACCAGCTAAATTGTGGTTAGTCACAGATCTGTCAATTCGCGTTGTTGTGGACTTACACCTTGGAAAGAGGGATGGCTCCATCGCGGGAGAAGGCCCAGAAGATTCGGCCAGTGCTGAGCTGAGAGCTGATCACGCATGGACCGAGAGCAATGAACAGGATGAACAAAAGACCGAACGCACCGCCAGTCTTCTGGGTTACCTGGCGGAACAGCTCTGCAAGCGGCATGCCGGTGTTGCCGGATGTCAGCTGGTCGAAGTCCTGAATCGAAAACATGAGACTGATGAGATACGTGAGACCAGTGCAGAACGCGATGACCAAGGTAATAGCGATGGCTAGGGGAGCATTCTTCGAAGGCTGCTTTCAGTCAGTTCACGCTCATGAATCTTCAAGGATTAGCAAAACATACGTTGGGCATCTCTTCCGTAATATGCGTCACACCATCGAGGCCGCCAAGAGAGTACAGAGGATTCACCAGGCCAGTGATGAAGCAGATGGCATTATTGTTCCACCCAGTCGTGTTGATCCAAGTCCTGAAAACAAATTCGGGATCACGATGTGTCGGGGCGCACGCAACGACAGTGACCAGCACAACGAGCCAGCCGATCTGTAGGTAGAAAAGCGAGAACTTGTTCAAGGCAGGGATGATCTTGTTGCCAAACATGACAACGGCAGCGGTGAGTAAGTTCAAGCCTTGGTAGACGATAAAAGTCTGCCAGGCCTTGATCTCGAGGTCGGATATGTACAGAGCGACCAATGCCATGAGGATTTGTGCATAGATGATGTTGGTGGATGCAGTGGTGAAGATCCCTACAACGTCAGTGTCCAGAGCCCCTCTTTACTGGCATTCGACTTACAGCCGAGAACACTGAACCAACCCGTCAGGAAGCTCAGAATGCCAGTCGCTCGTCTTGGAGCCACAGCCGCAATCCAATGATACATGCCGCCCTCGGTAGGGTAAGACGACACAAACTCAGCGAGCGAAGCTCCAAGGAAACATTGCAGAATTGTGACGAGGATGAAGCCGTAGATAACCGCGCCAGGACCTCCAGCTCCAATCTCGGTGATGAGACCTAAACCCAATCCCGTCCATGATATGGTTGTCGTAGAGGCCAGGCCGATCAGACTCAGGGTACTGAAATGTCGATTCAGTTCTTGGGTATGACCTGATTGCAAGAGTTAGTATGACCAGCCATTTGAAGCAATGGTCGTAACCTGTTTGACGAACCCATTTGCGCCAGACGAAGTTCATCTGCGTTTATCTCGGCTTTTGTCTCCGAAATATCCAGACTCCGCTTCATGCTGGATATACGTTGATCGTCTGATGCAGCCATTGTCCTTGAGCTGAGTTGTGATCTGCTGGCTCAATCTGTTCTTAGTAAATCGCAGCTGCAATGTCAACGTTCCATTACGACTTCTGGGGTCACGCGAGATATAAGCATATCCATACCCTAGCATGTTATCTTAATTCTCGAACGATAGCTTATCGGGTAGTCGGCACAACGCACGCTCACATGTTGTGTAAGCATTGCGATATGCACGTCCCCGGTTCAGAACGGGTCTATGTAACCCCATATTTCGAGTCTCTCCAATCGCGGAGACAAGTCGGATACAAGTGCGATAATACAGCTGCACAATCAACGGCCAACTGCGGACCGGCTCGGCTAAAGCACCGGTGAAGACCGAGTGCGAGACCTGATTAGATAGGATATCTTGGACTAAGAGATCGGCTTTGTGAGCCAGATAAGGCCTTAGTCTACGCGGGGTAACCAGCACCTCCACATGGTTCATGTACTAGCATCGGGGAACCGAGCTAGGGTTATCATTTGCGATACGTGGAAATTGGAAGGTCTGAAGTCGAAGATGTTGATCGGCAGACTCTCGCATGACATGATGCCGAACTCGGCATTCATGGTAGATTAGGGCCAACAACTCGCGCAACTAGTTTCTACGTATAATAGCATGGCTTATAACATGGCACGGTGTCCTCACACCTCTTCTGTCTCTATCCACTCATACAGGTTGGCACAGAGTTGCAGTCATGCGTTTCTCGTCCATCATCAGCCTTGCAGCTCTTGCAGTCAGCCATGGAGATGCAGCAGGTAGCTACGTCAAGTCCATGTCACCAAATGCCCAACAGCTCTTCACTGAGTCGATGGAATGGATGGACACCTTCTACGATAAGAAGGCAGGTTATCTGTACGACTTCAGCGCTTCTGTAGCCCTCCGGCATGAAACGCGTAGTTCAGTCTGGTACGCCTTTGGCCTGTTGGCGAGAAACGAGGGGTCTGATGCGGCCGAGGCTGAGAAGATCATCAAAAATACCATTGATTCTCAGTACAAGGTCCCTGCTGATGAATGGTATGTTCAATAGCCAATGGCGTAACTGATTTGACTCTGACAGTATTCTAGGTACGGCGACTATCAGCAGGAACCTGAAGAACCTTATGTAGGCAGCCCAGCTTATCCTCCCAAGATCTATGGTAGCTGGGACCCCAACTGGCGCGGCTTCGTTGGCACAACGCTGGTAATGTGTATGGAGGAGTTTCCCCACTTGCTCAGCAAGAGCACTCAAAATCTGATTCTGCACTCCCTACATAACGCGACCAAGGGCGATGAGTACCGTTTCGGCCACCTCGATAAGACCAAGGATAACCTTTATCCGTCTTACAGTAATCCTGTAAGTACTTCCCCTCTGGCGTTCCACTTTCTGTATGTGTTCTAACCATTGTTGACGGTAGTCCATTATGCGAGCCTTTGTTTCTGGTTGGACCGGCCGTCGCCTGAATGATAGAAACATGACTGTTGGCGGCGAAAGGTACGCTCAAGATATCATTGACCTCTTCAACAAACACAACACCCTCTCCGAGTTCAATTCGGGTACCTACACTGGTGTATCTCTTTTTGGCCTTATTCTATGGAGCAAGTATCTGCCTAAGGACTCAGTTATGACTAAGAACGGGCCACGAATGGTTGAACGAACTTGGGACGCTGTTTCCCAGCTATGGCACCCCGGTATGAAAAACATAGCTGGTCCCTGGGATCGAGCTTACGGTTACGATATGAACCGCTATCTTAGCTTGATGGCGTTGTGGTTCTGGACTCTGACTGGAAAAGAGAGCTCGTCTCTGACTTCTCATGTACGCAACCCCTGATCTATGCAGCGCTTGTCCGATTACTGACGTAGTGTAACAGCCTCAAGTTATGTCGCATATGGCTGACTATGCCTGGGCGCCTCTTTTCGCAGCTCTAGACAAGACGCACCAGAAGCTCATCCCGAAGAAGACACTCCGCAAGCTCTCAAAGTTCCAGGGGGAACATACCTTCACGGGAAGCGCTTACTACCCTCCCTTCGATACCGCGTCGCGTAACATTACTACATGGTTATCCGAGGATCTTACTATCGGCGCCGAGTCCTACGACGAGATTGTTATTGGCGGTCCATCGCAATCCCAGGGGTCTTTCAACCCCGCAGTGGTGCAGTGGAATACTGGAAACGAGATCTCTTTCATTTCTGTATGAACCCCGAGTTTTCACCCAGAAACACAAAACTAACGAATTCTCCAGCTATACCCAACCGAGATGGCTCTCCAATCGCGCGTGAAACCCGGCAAGCTCAGTTTGTCCTACCCTTACGGCAATGCCAGTTCTGTCTTCACCTTTGTCGTCGGTACCTTTGAGAAGAAGCGTACTGTCGCTAGCTGGGCTGACGTCCAAGGTCTGGAGGTGAAGGTCTCCGGCAACATCAACTCGACTTATGCCCTATCTTTTGCTGGTGGCTACGGTGGAGCAGACAGTCTTATTCGGGATTTTGAGTTTTGGAACTTCACATACACGATGCCTTCCGACTTCCAGGGAGTGCCTTCTGTCGAGCTTGATTTCAAGCTCATTTAGGTTCAGTTTACAGTAGATCATCATAAGAAGAGCCTGCATAGAAGAGGATCAATAATTAAAATAATCCCTCAAAATGTAGTATCGTGAACGAATCAACGTTGACTATAATACGCTATCATCTTGCCAGTCTGTTGACTAAATCTGCTTCTCCACATCAATGGGTATTGGCTAAAGAGTTGCCGAGCCTAATTCAACAAACTCGAACTTACAGCATCCACAAGCCGGCGTTCCATATATCATCTTCCCAATGATCCTATCGCGCTCCACTACAATACCGATACCATCAGGAACATTCTCATCATAAAGCAACCCAGGGATTCTATAAACTTGGGCCACGTCTGGGGTAGGCTCTCCCCACATGACCAGTCGGAACACAGACCGCCGCCCACAAATCTTACATCTGATCTGACTGATACCTTCCATTGGTGTACTGTACTCTCGCAGGAACCAATCTGCTTCTCCTGCTGCAAGCTCCAGCCGTGACTCCCGTGCGAGCTTGCCTTCCTTGCTCAGCTTCAAGACCCTGATCAACTTCTTCGCAATCTCGAATCTCTGCTGAGTTACCTCTTGCCCTAGGTATATCTCCAACAACGGCCCGTACTTTTCCAAAAGTCCCCGTATCTTATCCAGGTCATACTTAACTGTCGAAGAAGAGGAATCTACTGTCTTTGCGTCTTTCCATTCCATGTTGTATGCTTTCTCTTCGCTCCGGGGGAATATGCGATCCATAGCTTCACATAGAGCTTGTGGATTCTGGCCACTAGCCCGGACTACCTTGGATAAAATATAGTCCACGACCGATTCCGCATCTCCTCCGAAGCCGTAGTACTCAAAAGTCTCAATGACACCAACAGTTTGGAGTTTGGGCTGGATCTTGCCGTCCCGAATAATTGACTGAGAGGCCGCTTTCCTATGACATCTGCCCATGTCCCAGAGCTTCCATGTTCCTGTCGAGTATCCACGCAGCCACGGTGCTTGAGGGTCCGTTTCTTCACCTGGCAACGGGATGAACAATAAGGGGGAGTAATCGCCCTGTTGCAGCGCATATGTCGCCAGAGAAAAGAAGTATGCAAAGCGATTCTCGATGAGAACAAGAGGATCTTGCTCCGGTCGGAAATTAAGCATCTTCCCTAGAGCCAAGAAGTAGTCTCTTGTATACTGACACTTCCGATGACCTAGAATTCCGATTGCCCAACCGAGAGTCCGATGCATATCGTGCTCATTTTTCCAAGCCTCCATATCTATCCATGAAGTCATTTTTTTTAGAGTCGTATTTTGCTTCCATATGTCCTCTGTGACAATCGAATTGCTTCGTTTCTTGACCCATTTTGAGTGCGCAGTGTCTAGATGATGACATACATCCTTGGCATAAGCATCACAAACCGTGTAATCCTCGGTGAGAATGAGGACATCATTGCTCTGAATGTACTCCAGTGTCACCCACATGCGATCGAACCATCGAGACCGAATAATGGCTGCAAGATCAACAATAAATTTATCGTAAGGAGAATCCTTGATCTGGCCTGAGAGATGGGTTGCCCTGACGTCGTCCAGATGGATCAATGTTTTCGCGGCATGATTATATATCTCCGGTATCAGAAGAAGGAGCCGTTGCTGAACCTCGGGGCGCCATTGCGGAACGCTCAGGTAGTCATGCCAGACTTCGCAACCGGGAAACTTAGCCGTAAGCGCCAGGAGGGTCTTGGAGGTTATTTGGTAAACCAGCCTAGAAACGGCAATGCTCTCTAGACGTAGGTCCTGCGCGGTGGCCACCGTGGGGTGCCAGGCATGAGAAATGGGGATATAGTTGACTCTTTTAGCCTTTATACAGGACATATGTCTGTTCAATATTCTCAGATTCCATAGCGATACGGGCTCTTGAGTAATGTCAATGACGGACGGTTGTGAGTTACTGGTTCCAGCGGTTATGGTTCGTATCGGAGGTTCCCCGTCGGGAAGGAAATGTTTTCCACATGATACGCAATCAGAATCAAGGCCGGTGCCCCATACGTATGATAGGAATGAAGACTGGGGGGTCTGTCGCGATTCGCTGCCGACATGGAATGTCACGCTAGGCTCTGGTGGGAGAGCTAGAGAAGCAGTGCTATCCTCGCGTTTCCTCTTGAGATCTGCAGTGTTTGGTGCGATATTGAGAGTAGTTGAGCCACTGGCAATGCCATCGACAATGTTCTCGCTCATGTCAGGTGCATTGAGTATGATTCAGAGAAAGGACTGACTTAAGCTAACTGCTAGGCTGAGTTGATGGGGCAGAGTGGCAAGGGAAAACTGCCGGATAAGGTAAACAAACTACTGACTAAAACCAGCTTATCATAAGCCTCGATAAGCCTTATAAGACGACAAACCGATCGCGCTGAAGTGAGAATAATAATGGGTAGCAAGAGACCAA